CTGGTGTACGAACCGCCCGAACGCGCTCGGCCTAGGGGATTGGGGGGCTCGCCGGAGGGAGACCTCCCACCCTGCGTCGAATGCTTGTCCAGGCGGAACTCCTCACCCCGGGCGTGGGAGGAGAGCGCGCAGGTGGAGTTTTCCCAACGGAACCCCTCTCCCCGATGCCTGGGAACCGGCCTCTCCCCTCGAGCCCGAGACGGGCCAGAACCGAGGATCCCGATGGGTCTGAGCTCAAAAGCTTTAACCCTTCTGTACCCGAACGACTCAGAAAACCCCAAACCACGAAGAGCAGCCTCACCGGGCAATCGATACGCGTGTGGGGCGGGGGGCTGTTCAGGGGAAGCCTTTATGTGCTTGGAACAGTGAGAAAGAGCAAGACAGCCAACACCCCAGTTACGACCAGGAAGTGCTGGTCGGGGCGTATCCCCCTCCCCGCCCCGCCCCACAGAAAGCAAAGATGGCCCATCTCATTGGTAATCAAAGAACTCGAAGGGCTGATGCCACCTCCCACCGTTTACAATGTCAGAAGGCAAAAACATTGCCCTGCTTGGTACGGATCGGTTGGGTGTCGTCCCATAAACCGAAAGGCCACAGGTTCGATTCCCAGTCAGGGTACTCGCCAGGGGTGCCCAGTGATCCCCCATCAGGGTTCGAACCAGAGGCAACCTACGTGTGTTTCCTTCTCACCTCGATGTTTCTCTCTGCCCCGCCCAATTTTCTTCTCTTTATAAAATCAAGGAGCGTGTCCTCCGGTGAGGATAAAAAAGAAATGAAAACATCACCAACACCCAAAGCTGGACGGGGCTCAGGAAAAGGACTTTCCTGGCCCCAGAGAAGCAAACACCGTCCTCCCTTCCCCATGGTCCCCTTCTCTCTGCTCCGGCCCCTTGGCCCTTGGTCATTACTCACGTTTCCTCATCCGCTGTCGCCTCCCCACTGCCCCCTCTGTCCAGTCCCCCGCACCTGCGGCAGCCCTGTCTGTTGGTCACCGCTGTGTGACCAGCACCCGGGACGCATCCGGCTCACAGCCGGGGCTGGGCGGGCCAACAGGCGGCCTTACATGGACACCTACTGCAACGGGGCAAAGTCATTCCTAGGACTTTATCCCAAAGAAATCAGGCAGGTGCGCGAAGATGAACGTACAAGGATGTTCTCTGCTCAACTGCTTACAGTGTCTATAAAACGGAAACACCCAGTGTCCTCATAAGGAAATTAAATAAGTAACATTGTATCTACAAAGCAGTGATTCTCAGCCCTGACTGCCCATCAGCAGGACTTGGGTGGAGAGGAGCTTAAAGATGTGCTGATGTCCCTGTGCCTCCAAGCACCACCCAACAAATTCAGCCCACGTTTCTGAGGCAGGGCCCCTGGAGTCCTGGGCGCAGCCTGGACAGAATGCAGCTGCTGTGAACGTAGCCAACAGCTGGAGCTGCAGACCCGGGTGATGTCGCCACGCACTAAGCCAGGGAGAGGGTCCCACTTCTGTGTCCGAGAGGAACTGCATGTTTCTGAACAGCTGGCAGGTGACCGCACTCCTAGGGAACCGCTGGGAGCGAGCAGGACGCCTCCTTGGAGCTGCGCCCACAGGAGTCTTGGTTTTCCTGTCCAGGACGATTTCAGGAAAACATGGGAACGTATGAAATTCTTACAAATTGACATGTTTCCTTGCTTCTATAATTAGGGAAAAAGCAAAGGCTTGTTTTTCGTTTTAAGAAAAGTCACTTGAGAACCTGGTGGCCCTGCCGCCCGCCTACCCACAGGCTGGCACACGGCCAGCTGGGTCCCTGACTCCCAGTCTCTCTGGGTGAAGGCAAACCTTCTCAGTGGTCAGCCACTGCCTATGAGCAAGCGCATGTTATGGTAGGTGTGACACCAGCCACAGCCACTGGGAAGGGCGGGTTCCCAGCTGCTCAGCAGGAAGGTGCTGGAGCCCCTCCAGCTAGGAGGCACGGGGGGCTTGCCGGACACCACAGCGCTGAGTCGGAGCAGCAGAGGAAATGCAGGTCCCCTACAAGTCCAGTCCCTGAACGTAACTGTCCCCCTCAAAGTCTGGGAGGGACAGAAAGAGAAGAAGGGGGTTGGGGGAAGAAGAAAAGTTGGCCCTTTGTAGGAGACCATTCTGCGTGGCATGGGCCCAGCTCCCACTTGGAGATGCACAGGACCCACGCCCACAGATAGGTCCTCATGTGGGGAATCAGGCCTGCAATGTACCTAGACTGCTATGGGACTTGCTTTTGCTAAAACTCCCCCACCCTGAATCGAGGCAGAAAGTGCCTACTGCAACTTCCTAAAATCCATGCTAAAACTCCCCAGTATGAAGTATGACCAGTTCATCTACTTTCCCCTTTTCATTTGCAAATACCCTTCTTCTGTGATGTGATAATCGGCATCAGCTCCTTTGTCTTCCGTAAAAGGTAACCACTTAAAGCCACCTTGTGCACAGTAACTGAGGACCATCACGTAATGTGCGGAGAAACCCAATAAGGGCAGGTCAGGGGCAAGGGCCACAGCTTTTGCTCCCCTTGAGAGAGAATCCATGCTGTCCCTTTTCCTCCACTGGACTCGATAGTCCTTGTGAATGTCTCTCCCCCATCCACAATGCGGCAGACCCCATGAGCCAGGGTCCACATCAGCCCTTGGTTCTGGGGTGAAGAAGAAGTGCAGAGAACCCTGACCAGGCCCCCAGGCCCTGCCAGATGAGGACGGTGGGTCCAGACTCCTCAGGACTGGAAAGGACAGAGGCCAGTCCAGATAGTTCACATCACAACTACGGTTTTTAGTCGAAATCTACCTGGCACTTTGTTAAACTGCCCTCTTATTTTCTTTTTCCTTTTCTCTGCATACCGAATTTGATATATTAATTGGGTGTTTTAATCAGAAAAAAGGTTTCACATCACCATAGCAACCGTGCCGCACCAGTGAAAGGGAGTCAGCAGCCCCCACACCACTCGGTGCTTCCCCAGCCCGCTCTGCCCCCAGGCCCAGCCAGGGGCACCGTTCACAGGGGCGGGCAACTTTGAGATGCAGCCCGGAGAGAAGGCAGGCTCAGGGCACACAGCCCCTCCAGAAAGATGCTCCTGGCTCCCTGCCAGAGCCCACTCTTTCCATCCACATAAGCCCCCGGCCTTCACGCTGGGAACCGCGCCTTCTCTCTTGCAGGTAGGGCTGTGACTCCTGAGCCCTGTGTGCCCTGAGGGTGCCCTGCAACCGCGGAAAACTAGTGCAACCGAGCGGCCGCCCACCCAGGGAGAGGCCCGGCCTCCTCCTCTCAGCAAAGCCCAGGTAAGTCCGGATCACCTGTTCAGTGACAGGCAGATGATCAATGGCCCTGCGAGCTAGGAAGCAAGCACCTGTAGGCGACACCGGTTCCCACCTTTCACAGGCCCAGCTGGCTGGTGTCTGTGCCTCCCGCGGTGCATAGGCAGAGAGGGGGGCGGGGCTGCTAAGTAATTCTCCAATCAGATTTCGAGCATCCTAAAGGGATTCCGCGCTCTTTTTGCCTTTTTAATGATCCTTGAATCCTGAAACATAGCACTCGGAGCACGTGGAAACATTCCGCGCCCCAATAAGCGGAAGGCAGCAGGTGCTTCGGTTCTGTGCTCAGTGTCGCTGTCCCTGCCTCAGAAGGCACCGCGCGAGGGACCAGAGCCGGCCAGCTCCCGGGCGACGCTGGGCTGTGCTGAAACCCGGCGACGCGCCGCGCCACCGCTCTCTCATCCTGCGGTCAGAAGCTGGATGTAACCCTGCCTCCCGATTCGTTCCTATCCACGCTGGGCTTTCCTGACGTTGAAGAGTTGTGCCAAAAACAAAAGCGGGGAGCGTGAGACCGTGCCAGCAGTGCGTGCTGCTGTCCCCACGGTAAGTGCACAGTGGAAGGGTCACGCCGAGCCTGTGGCTGGTCCTGAAAGCCGGACCTCCGAGTGTGTGTGTCCAGGGCCCCTCCCCGGGCCTGCGGCCAGCCCCCCCCCCGCCCCCACCCCAGCACCACAGCCGGCTCCCGCCGCACTGACGCCGGTGGCATCCGGCCCGCACGCTCGCCAACACTGGCCTGAGGTCGGACTGTTGTAATTTCCTATGATGCTTAAATTATTTATCAGAAATAAATAGCTTGGGCTCTCACGCTGAGCTGTGCTCTACAATTACGGAAGATCCATCGTACCTCTGCAGCCTGCCTACAAATGAAAAAAAGGCAGATTCAACTATTTTAGGAAAATGTCAAAATATATCAAATGTGTCATCGCGGTACCATTTGAGTGATCTGCGTGGCATCTGTAGGAAAGGGCTGAACATTTGCGTGGGAATGTTTCACAGCACCCCAAAGGTGGACACCGGGCAGCCACCTTCCCTGCAAAGGTGTCCGGTGCCCAGCCGGCCCGGAGGCGTGGCCGGAGGGACCGCTGCCTGTCCCCACGGGCACCCACCTCCCTGTGGCCACGTAGGAGCACCTCTGCTCTGGACAGGCAGCTTCCCCTACAGGAGGACCTGATAGAGCCGCCCAGTTCCCAAAGGGCGGGCCTGTGCACAGGGCAAGGCCCCCTGCGCAGCACATCTGAGTGCAAAGGTCGGTCATGCGGCGACCTCTGCTGCGCACACACCTGCGCCCGCCCGTCAGCCTAGAGGCTGAGAGCCCGGTCCAGGGGCTCCGAGCCACCTGTGGGCACCGCACAGGTGCAGTGTAAGGAACCCAGCTGCACAGGGTCCCTCACAGAAAAATGAAAACGCACAGCCCTTCGTACGTCGCGCCTAAGCCCAGAGCCGCCCGACAGCTACTGGACACGGTGGAGGATGCAGGCGGGCGCCATAGACACGCGTGGGCACCTCCGGCACTGTCCGCGAGTTCCCTCGGAAACCTAGCAGTCCTGGACCCCTTCCCAACCCGGTGGCCTCGGTGTCTAGATGCCAGGAAATCCTACCGCCGCGGCCCTCCTGCGAGAGCGCGTGGGGGCCCCACGCTGTCCCCAGAGAAGCCGGAGTCCCCTCCGTGCGGCAGAACTCACCGTCTTCCTTGTCGTCAAACACTGGCCTCCGCGCTGGGGCCCCGGACATGGAGGAGCTCATCCTCTTCTTCCACTTGCTCCACGCAAACAGGGGGCGCGGCTGCGCGCGGGCATCGCCCGAGTCCCGGGCTCTAGGTTGGCCGGTGGCAGACGGCTGCAGGGCGGGCGTTGCGTCGGGGCCCGCGGGGCGCCCGAGGCCCGAAGGCGGCGAGCCGGGGGGCGCCGAGGCGCTGCTGCCCCTGCGCTCGGCGCCACTTCTCATCGCCGGGCCTGGGTGCGCGCCGCGACCAGAGACCCGGACATGGCCCGCCTGCAGGGCGGGGAGCGGGAGTGGGAGCTGCTGGCCGCAGCCGCCTTGCGTCCCAGCCTCGGCGCTCGAGGGTCCTGGAGGCCGTGCCGGCTCCGCCGACTGCGAGCGCGCGGGGGCGGTGCCGGGGCGGTGCCGGCGGGAAGGAGCCGGGGTGCAGCGGAGCTCTGGGGGCGGAGACGGGGCGGGACTGGCGCGGGTGGCGGCGCGCGGTGCCTTGTACCCGCCGATCACTTCGGGTGGGGCCGGTTCCTCGTGGACCCTGGGGCTGTGGCATCTACTGGGCTGCGGGGGCGAGATCAAGGGAAGAAAGGCCCTTGTCCCCTGCAAGTATCCTTGAAGCCCCCAAAGGACGGGGTCCCGGGAACAGGGACAGCTCCGCCGGGCAAGGCAGCGAAGACTAAAAGTCCTCCGCTGAGCCTCCCCGCCCCCTTGCCTTCGCGAACAAAGCGGGCCCTGGACTGCCGCCTCTCGATCTGAGAACCTTAAACGTCAGCCTGCGGCTCTGCGCTGCGCCAGGCCGCGCCGGGCCGGGGATGGGACTGCGAGAAAGGGCTGCGCTGGGAACGAAACCGGGTAGCGCTCAGGACCGGCGGCCCCGCAGTGCTGGTCCGGGTGCGGATCCCTCTCGGGGGTGCAGGTGGCTCGCGAGACTGAGCCTGGGGAGGGCGGGGGAAGGGCGACGGCAGGGCTGGGGCGCGAGCCCCTCCCCAGGTGGCTGGTCTAGAGCCCGCCTGAGAGCGTGCGCGCGCGCGCACACTTGCGCGCGCCTAGAGGGTGGTGGCGGCGCTAAGCACGTGCGCCCGTGCTCTCCGGGTCTCCTCGGCAGAGCAGATAGATGATCCCCCTCCCAACGGGCCGCCAGGTCACCAGGGCTGAACTGGAGCCCTTGGCGCAGGTCCGCGCCCAAGGACCTCTCAGAGACCTGTGCCTGAGGTGCCCGGGGTCCCCTGGCCCTGCCCAGATTTGACAGGGGCCTGGGCGCGGACAGCCGGACTCCCCACGGTCTTTGCCGAGTATTTGGGCAGCACCAGGCGCGGTTTGATGCCATGCACGTCTGCCCTTCCTCGCACAGCCAGATGAGGTCGCCTAGCTCTTTGCACCTAAGACTTTGGTCACCTAAGAGTCATTTTTTGTTGTGGGTTGTTTGACCCACTCTTGGAAGCCTTGGCCTCTTGAAGTTCTGCCTCCCAGCCAAGCCAAAGAGCCAGCCTTTCTCTCCTACCTGGAGATGTCTAGTAGGGCCTTCTTCCACCTGGTGGTCACTGTGGGGATGCATGGCCATGGGGCCCTGTGGGTCTCCCTGGCTGCGCCTCCCCTCCCTGCAAGCCACTCAGCTCTGTCCTGCCCTTGCCTTCCCTCCCTGGGTCCCCTTCCCGGGCTCAGCCTGCCCCTGGTTATTATGATAATCTCCCAGCCCCGAGGGGCGGGACCCTGCATTCTCCCCCTCCCTGTGACATTCACTGCGGCTCCTCAAACTGCTTTACCAAAGAAATGGGAGCAGAGGTGACCCGTGTCATTTCTGGGCCATGCATCACGTGGGGACCACCTGCCCACCAGCCCACGATGTGAAGGACTAGGGAGAAGCTGACATGTTGCTGAGCCGTTGAGATACAGGGTTATTTTTACTTTTACTCCAGCGCCACCTCAGGTGGCCCTGGCCTGGCTCACGGACGTGCTTGCCTGGGTCTCGGGGTGTATGGAGACCAGTTCTCCGCCCCCCCCAGATTGGGCTCTGTCCTTGGCTCCCTCCTGGGCACACGGCCGGGACCGGCACTGCAGGGGTGGTCCCCTCAAAGCCAGGGCAGCCTCATGTCCCCCAGGGCAGAGTGCCACACTTGTCTGTCTACTCCTTCCCAGGCCCCCTGAAGGGGCAGAAGAGGCATGAAAATATATCACCCTCCCTCTCACAGAGGGAACAAGACAAAGGACATTCGTGGGGAAAAAACATGTTACTGGATGAACAGGTGGGCTGGAGAAGTCATTGTGGATGCTGGAAAGATGGCAGGTTTATAGCTAACAGGGCCCCATGGGGAATGAAGGGGGCAGGAAAGGCTGAATGGACCAGTAGAGCCCAAGGGTGCCTCTTCCACGCAGGGCAGCTGAGGTTGGACAGCCCTCCTCTGGGGGGAGAGATCAGGGGCTCCTGGCTCAGGGACACTGGCCCCACAGAAAGACAGAGTGAAGGGGCCGCAGGGACTGGTGGGAGATCTAAGTGCGGACCAAGAGCCCCGAAGGCCACACCAGGCCCTGCCCCTGTAGGGAATCTTGTCTAGAGAGACTGAGTGGCCTCCTGAACACCCCCAGGGCCCCAGATCTGGGGTCCCTTCGCAGGCTCCAGCAGGAAAGAGGAGGAACCAGAGCAGCAAATGGCCTGACAGCAGCTCTGGGGCATGGCTCCTTGACTGTCCCTGGCCCCAGGGTGAGGTCCAGGGCTGCTTGGGATTAGATGGTGGCAGCCAGCACAGGCTGATCGAAGGTGCACATGCGTGTGGGCAGGGGGCAGAGAAAAGGTGAGGCGTGTCCTTGGCCCAGAGCAGACAGGTCTCTGAAGCCCTGAAGGCGCTATGCCGGAGAGACTAAGGCTGGAGTGGGGGCCAGCTGTGAATGGAGAGGGGTGATGAGGCCACCAGAGTCCCTGCGTGCCACAGGGTGGTCCTGCACACCCACACTAACCAGGAGCCTTGTCCGCCTAGTTCCCCGGACAGGAGACCCTCACTGACCCGGAAACAAAGTTGACCCTCAGGCCCCAGCGTGTGGGCACGTGCGGCAGCATCGTGGGTGTGGAGGTTGTGACGTTTCACACGTTACCTTTCCTGGGAGAACATCACTCTGGGGCAGGTGAGGAAGGTGGTCATCACCAGCTGTATTTCCCTCCGAGTCTGGGGCTGCTCACCTCTGCCAGCCAGACCTCAGAGGGCAGGGCTGTTTGTCCCTACCCATCTGCCGTGACACACAGGGGTCCAGAGCCACCCCCCCATCACTGTCCTCTTGGAAGCACCCCGCTGAAAGTAGACTGTGGAATGAGCCTGGTGGTTAGTCAAGGACAGAACACGTGGGGAGGAGAGATCGGGGTCGGGGTGGGACCCTTTCCCCCACCCTACTTCTGAGGCAGTTCTGATGTCTTCACAAAGAAGGACGGCTCTTAACATTTACACAATGGAATTCTATGCAGCAGAGAGAAAGAAGGAGCTCCTACCCTTTGCAACAGCACTGATAGAACTGGAAAGCATTATGCTGAGTGAAACAAGCCAGGCAGTGAAAGACAAATACCATATGATCTCACCTTTAACAGGAAGCTAAACAACAAAACAAACAAGCAAGCAAAATATAACCAAAGACACTGAAATGCAGAACAGGCTGACAGGGACCAGAGGGGAGAGGGGAGAGAATTTCAGGGGAAAAGGGGAAGGATTCACAGGAACAAGTATAAAGGACACATGGACAAAAACTAAGGCGGGGGGGGAGGGGGGTGGGAAATGGGAGGGAGGTGGGGAGCACTGGGGGGGTGGGCTGGGATGGGAGTAAGAGACAGAAAACTTTACCTGAACAATAATTAAATAAATTTTTAAAAAAGAAAAGCAATTTTTAGCAGAGGTAAAAAAAAAAAAGGACGGCTCTAGTCTCTTGCCTCTTCTGGCTTCCTGAAGCTGCTCCTTCTTTTCAAAGTAGGCTCATCGTCCTCCTCGCCCCCGGATTCATCTGCGCAGCTAGGAAGCTAAGGCAACCTCGCAGCACAGTTGCCACCATAACCTCTCCTGTGACACTGTCATGCCCCCGAGGTCAGGGTGTAGGTCCTTGTGGGGCCCAGGCAGCCGACACCTGGTACACAGGTGCTGGGCCAGAGGCTGAGGCCCGGTCAGTGGACGGAGGCCAGGTGGTGTTTGTGCAGCCTGTGTGACCGGCACCTGGGGACACTCCGTGGAGGTTGAGCCCTGGCCGGGGGCCAGTGGGGGTTACGCTTTTGGATGCAGTTCTCATGAGACTGAGAGCCTGCTCGGCCTGTGGCCCCACTCGGGCCCCTGGGAAGAACTTACTTCTCTACTTGAGAGTCTTGTTGTGGGGGGCAGATGCCCGCCTTTTTGTGTTCCCCTTAGGTATGCGTGGAAGGAGGCAGGCGGCCAGAGGCTTGGAGCCCCCCGGGGGGCCCTCCACAGATCCAGAGGCCATCTCGGGCCGCTGTGACCTCCCTGCCCCTTGGGCTTCCCTGTATGATTGGGGCAACAACCCCGCCTCCTGGCATTACCCAGGTGAGCCCTGGACGTTTGCTGGCCGGTCCGCCACGGCGCTGAGCATCTCCTGGCACTGCTCACTCAGAGCTCACCACCAAACGGCGCATGTTCTCGTGGCCCTGCCTGTCGCAGAGCAGTGAAGCAGGTTTGGGAGGCAAGGCCCTGCTAAGCTCACTGCCATCAGCTCAGGAATGAAGCTGTTGACGTCCCGCGAACAACCCACATGGGCTGGGCACGACCACAGCGGGTGTCAGGAGCACCCCCCCCCGGACTGACTCTCCCTTTGCTCTGTGACAACTGACGTGCACAGAGCGGCATGTGCACCATGCCGGTGTCCTGAGTCTACCAATGGAACGCCCCCAGGCAGCCACTCTCTGACCCCTACCTGTGCACCCGCACCTGGCTGCCCCCGCCTGGATGGGGGGACCACCTGTCCTCTGGCCCCCCCCAAAGCAGCTTCCTGGGGCTGTTGTGACAAACACCACAAAGGATGCACCATAAACAACGACTTTTATTTCAGCGTGGAGGCCTGAAGGCCGAGACAAGGCGTCACAGGGCTGGTTTCTCCTGAGGCCTCTCCCTGTGTCCTCACACATGTGTACGTGTCCCAACGCCCTCTTCTGCTAGAAGGCCAGTCCTATCGGACTGGGGCCTCTGTAAAGGCCCTGTCTCCAAACAGTCACATTCTGAAGGTGGTGGGACTTCAGCGTGTGAACTCTGGCATATAGCCCGTGACGCCCACCACGGGCACTGGTGTCTCCTACCCACCCTCAGCCTGGGTTACGGGCCAACCCGCCCCTTGACTGTTCTTGTTTTAGTCTTCTCATTCACCCTTGCACCTTCACAGACAGCCTCACTCACACGAGAAACACTTGTGCCGAGGGAGGCGTCCCGAGGCTTCATCTAAGATTCCTCCTTGTGTTTGCGAACAGCTGCTGGCTGTCCAGTTTGGGACTTTCTCTCGTCTGGGCCACTGGAGCCCTGCCCCATCCTCCTGCAGTGAGCAAGGCGGCTATGAAAACCTGGGTCTGTGTGTCCTGACGCATGTCCACACCTCGCTCTTGCTCAGGGACACGGGTCAGACGTCTGGCCTCCGGAACTGTGAGGGGAGGCAGGTGGCTGTTGCGAGCAGCTGTGTTTTTCGTGATTTGCTGTTGCTACTGCGGTTGGGAAAAAAAGGATACACTGGAGTTTTTACCCTACTCCGTGTGAATTTCAAGGTGATGAGCACCCATCAGACTCTGCCCTGAAAACGATGTCTCTGCCCGCGCACCAGTCTGTTCAAGCGGGTCTGGGTTCTGAAAGCCTTTAGTTTCGACGCTGAAGACTAAAGCACTTCCTATATTCGACGTTCCTTCTCTGAGTTAGAGATATTTGCTGCCCTTGTAGTTCAGGTTTCTCAAGAAGCTCCTTCGCCTGCCTCTGCGGCTCTCTCTTCAATGAGAGAGTGTGCTCTGCTTACCACAAACTACTGAAATGTGAGCGCAGCCTGGGATTTGGGGAACCCACCTTTCCCGGGGTCTCCTAACTGGGCTACGAGAGGAATTTCGCGTGGGATCGGTGTTGGGGGGCAGAAGCCCTGACATCTTTATCTTTACACTTGGAAGGGCAGGGCCGGCGCCCAGGTGTGGCTGTGGCCCATGGTCCTCATTGGTGGGAGACAGGAAAGCAGCTTCCTGCTTCTCCAGCTCCGGGGTGGGGGGCGAAGGCTGTGTCCTGGGTGAGGGATGGCGCAGCTTCCGCAGGACACGCCGTGACCGATCCATCTCGGGGCTCCGGCCCGAGCTCCAGGCGTCCAGTTTGCGGCAGGTCCTCTGTCCCCAGTTTACCTCCAAATCCCCCTGCCTGACACGCCCTGCACCCACGGGTGGAGCCGAGGGGTGTGCCCGCTGCCCCTGTGACTGCACCCCCGTGACTCTGGAGGACCCAGGTCTGCCCGTGAGGCGCCCAGGTAGACACGGGAGGGCTTTCGAGTTCTGGACAGCGGCGGCGGGCCCTCCGCCGACTTTCCCTTGCGCTCAGGCGGCTGCTCCCAGGGGCCCGGTATCCTCGGGCTCCGTGACTCTCCGGGATCCGGCACTCTCGCTCCGGCCCCGGAGATCGCGGGAGGCGAGCCAGCGCTGGGACCCTGCAGAGCGCTGCGGCCCGCAGGGGCCCGGAGCGCACGCGCACCACGCTGCCCGCGCGGCTTGGCGCCTGCGGGGCCCCGTACGGCCCGCGTCTCCATGGCGACCGCGGGCTCCCGCAGCCTCCATTGTTCCGCTGCATCTCCGCGCGAGCGCGGGCGGCGGCCAGGTGTGCCAGTGAGGGGGGCGCCGCTGGTGAGAGGGGCGCGTAGCTGGCCGGCTGGGGCGGGCGGCGGGAAGAAGGCGGTGCCCGGGGCAGGTCGCGCCCCGGGGCCTGGACCGCCCGGCCCGTTGCGAGCAACCAAGGCGGGGCGCTCGGGGCACCTGGAGCGGCCTCGGCGGCGCCCGCCGCGCTCGTGAATGTGCTGCTCCCGGTTTCCAGACCTTGTCCCTGGCGGGGGCTCCGGGAAGGGCCGTGCAGGGAAGCGCCGCGTCTACCCGGGCCCGACCCCGGCCCGCACCGCCGAGTCGTCTGCACGCCGTCAGGGCGGTGCCTTAAGCCTGGTCTTGGGAAGGAACGCGTGGTCGGCGGACTCGGACTTGGACTCGGTCCGACCTGTTTCCTCTCTGACACAGCCGTTCCCGTTCTGCGCTTCCCGGGCGTTGAAAGTTACATCGGAGGATTCCATGGGATCGAGTGAGCGGCAGGACCTTGTAATCTGAACCTTCCCGCGTTCCAGGCATTTCTTAAGAGTCAACTTTACTCACAAGTCAACTTTATGATACTGATTTAAAAGGAGGGTTTGGTAAGCGGACCGGCCATTCAGCTAGCCCTGCCACCCGTGAACGAGCAGCGGTCCTAACTGTGCTGTGTCCCCTCCTGTCTCCAGGTGCGCCGTGGCCCCGCAGGGTCGTGTCCTCCTGCCGACAGATGGAGGGAACCCGCGCTGGGGCTGCGGCCCCAGAGAGCAGCGCCAGGTTGGAGAGCAGCACCGCTCTTGTGGGGAGCCCGCCGGCCTCCCCCTCCAAAGACAGTCATGGGAGGGTGCCGGGGGCCTTCTTCTCCTCCCAGCCAGTTCTAGACCTGAGTCAAAATGGACTTCAGCACCTGGGAGACGTCCTTAAAATCCCCACCCTTAAAGTAAGCAGTGAGTCTTGGGGTGTTGTGTGCCCCACTCTGTGCAGATGCAAATGAGTGGCCTCCCCACCCCACCCCCCAGCTTTCACTGGCAGCCTTCTCTTCAGGGGAGAAATTCTAGAATGAGCTAGAGTTCTGCAGGGTTCTGTGTACTGTTTCGTATAAATGAGAGACCCAGTCATGGGGACCAGCCAGTGTGGGCCCCTTGCAGGTTTGGACTCTGATGCCTTCTCTCCTCAAGATAGTCTCGGGCACCAAAGAGTCGGTGGTGGCAGGCACCATGGCTGGAAACACCCCCGGTCTCTCATTTAAAACACAAAACCCTAAAACCCCAGGCAACACTGTACCAGTGGAGACTGCTTCTCACCGACGCTTTGCCGATGTCCCACGCCTGGCGCTTTGCCAGGCGAGCCCATCACCACCTGTGAGTTTGGGGTAAGGTACCAGCTGAGCCCAACTGCGCTGGGAAGCAGTGAGGGTGCTCACCCCATGTTCCGGCGGCCCTGTGGTCAGCAGGTCCTCATCTGTCTTCCCCTGGAAGGTGGGAGTGAGCGAGTCCCCATGGGTGGTTGGAAGGGTCCAGTGATAAGGCACACAAAGCACCGCATCCACTACCCAGCATGCATTCAACGCACTGTGCTGTCCTGGTGTCAACTGACACCCCTGAGTGTACCCAGCAGCGTGGTGGCACCCGCTGGACTCAGGGTCTGCGGTAGAAATGGCAGCACCATTGCGATGGGTGCTGACCGGGCATTGCTTTGTGCTGTGCTCTGCTCCCCTGGGGCACCGGGGAGGTGGGTCCTGTGACCCACTTCACGGGTGAGGACTCCAGCCCAGAGAGGTTTGGGAATTTGTTCAGAGTCACACAGCTAACAGGTTTCAAGAGCTAGATTTGAACCCAGAAAGTCTGGCTCCCAGGCCAGTGTAGTGAGAGCCTGTGCCTACCGGTAGAGCAGCTTACACGCATGTGCAACAATGGAACGTGAGCACACACGCAGCAGCAGTGGAGGCGTCATGACTTCCCCATCACCCTTCGCACTGGGACTGTGACGTCACATGTGCAGTTCACCATCGGTGCCCAGGACTCTGTCCCCTCCCTCCTGAGCCGCTGCCTCCTTTGTGCTGGTGGCTGGACCCCACTGGCTCGAGGTGTCCAGCGCCCTGAACCAGTGGTTTGGGGTTATCCTCGTGTGGCTGCTGACCACAGGTTGCGACACAGCGGATCACTTAGGGTGTGTCCTGCTCTTTCCTTGGGACACGTCCCTGGGCCCAGACGCGTGCGTTGTCCCCTCACTGGGCGGGCTTCCTGTGGGACCCAGGAGGGAGAGTTTGGTGTTCGAGGGCATTTTAGAAGCGTCATGTGCGCACGGCGGTGTGTGAGCCGCCAGCGTGCAGGGAGGCAGTGTCTGCAGGTCAGGATGCACCCTGGGCCCCGGAGACTCGTGTCCAGTCTCATGTCTGCTGGTGAAGCTACTGAAGGTGGAGCGTCACGGGTTCTCTTCCGTGCAATCCACGCGACTGCAGTGCCTAGTGGCTCTGTTGGGAATGCGTTCAGGACGCGCTGTCTTTGAAACGTCTTTTTCTCCCCTGGAAGCAACTGCATCTTCAGAGAAACGCCCTGCGTGCCATTCCCTCAGACTTCTTCCAGCTGCTGCCGAGCCTCACCTGGCTGGACCTGCGGCACAACAGGATCGAGGCGCTGCCCTCTGGGGTGGGCTCTCACAGGCACGTCGCCCGCACCAGGCCGGACCCCAGCCCTTCAGCCTGCCCGCCTGCCTGCCTGGCAGCTGCTGAGGGCCTTGCCCTGGATGAAGTTTGAGTTCAGAATAGAATAGCTTTGTAGTGTTTTTGAAGCCAGCCAAGAGGTGTGAAGGCGGAGTGCACAGGACACTTAGAAGTGCAGAGGATGCCGGCGGCCACGGTGCCTTTGATGAGCCAGCTGTGTCGGCTCCGCAGGGCCTGCTTCCACCTGTGACTCGGTGTGAAGCCGCCTGGAGGGTCGGAGGCCCAGCCAGGCCCTTGGCCCCTGTGGGCCCCCGTGTGTCCTGCTGCTTCCTGGCAAACAGTGAGGACTCCCTTTTTGGAAAAGTGTGTGTGTGTGTGTGTGTGTGTGCACTCCTGCCGCTCAGGCTCCAGGGACCCCCGGCACCCCCACATCCAGATCAGATGCCACGCCTCGCTGTCCACTTCGCACAGGCACTGCCTCCGGGAGCACCATGCACTGCGAGGCCCCGCCCCTCCTGGCCCTGCACCTTCAGGGCCCAGTCCCCCTGCTAGTGTTCCCTCTCCGTGGGCACCTTCTGAGAGACGGCAGAGGCCCTTCCTCTGTGTCAGTGCCTCCGGCCAAAGGAAGCACCCAAAGGCCCTGGGGCGGGCGTGTGCTGGGCATGGGAGGGCGAAGGGAGGTGGGGCGGGACAGTGGGTGGGGCGCAGTCACAGAGGGTTGGCCCCGCTCACAGGCCGTGGCTGCTGTGGTGGATTTCATTCTGACATTTTGAGTGGATGGGTGGGATTTGACCTGGCTGCATGGAGGGGCAAGGGGCCAGCAGTGAAGCCACTGCAGCAGCCCCTAGTAAAGGGGTGACGCCTGGACGAGGCTGGACGAAGGAGCGGCGGGTCCAGGTTGGACGTGGGCAAGGGCAACCCCAGTTCAGACACGAGTGACTTGCAGAAGCCGGGAGGCCCCCAGAGCCTGGGGCTGTGGCCTGTGGCTCGCTGGCTTCAAAGGCAGTTTTAAGACCGGAACGCTGTGGGCCTGGTCAGAGGAGCTGGGGGATCCCGGGCCTGCTCACTCTGCAGACCACCCCCTTCACCTGAAGACACGGAGCGGCGTGGCGTCGCTTGGGGGGGGGGTCACTTGATTTTTCTGCTTTTTAAATGATGCCTTTTTTGTTTTGTCTTAAAGGTACTTGAAAACTTTGCTTTTGGAGAGCAACCCCATCAAAATGTTACCTGTGGAGCTGGGTGAGTGCTACAGCGACCCCGTGAGAGGAGGCTGTGAAACGCGGTCGTGGGGGGCTGCGGACCGTGTCTTGGGTCGGGCGTTGGGGTTGTGTACGCTGTCGGCTTTGTGCCCTGATTTTCCCCTGAGGGCTGCCGCTGCTGCTTCCACCTGTTTAACTAACTTAATTCGTTAGCCGGGCTGGTCTTCATCGAGGAGTCCGCCCCCTTTGCAGAGTTTTCTTTAAGTAAATGTCAGAGCTCTGGCACATCATTTCACCCAGAATTCTCAGCAGGGTCTTGTTCTCCCTGCGTGCAGACGGTCGCCGTCCGCTCCCCCGCGTCCCCAGCGCACGGGTGGTCTGTGAGGCGCCCCCGGCTTTCCCTCTGCAGGCAACGTGAGGACGCTGAGGGCCCTGAACCTGAGGCGCTGCCCCGTGGAGTTCCCGCCCCAGCTCGTGGTGCAGAAGGGCCCGGCGGCCATCCTGAGCTTCCTGCGCGCCTGCGCCACAGAGCCAGCGCCTCGAGGTTGGTAGGACAGTTGCTGTGATTGGCTGAGACTGGAGTTAGCGCTCCTTGCAGCCGGGGCCCCGGGAGCCCGCCTCGTCCTTGCTGGACTCTCCTGGCACTCGGGTCACACGCGGGCCTTTCCGCCGGCCAGCGGGGCCACATCTTTCCTGGCCCCGTGCTCCCGTGGGCATCCTCCGGGCCCATTTCGGTGCCAGTCTGGGTGGGTTTGAGTGCAAGTTCCCTGGCATGCATGTCATGAAACAGTCCTCACCCCAGCACCATGAGGTCACTGTTTAAACAGTTGCTCCTTCTCAGGCCATGGTTGCCCGGTTTTTAACCATTTTTCTTTAAAAACACCAGCCCTGAGCACTTAGTGGTCGGAGCACGTGGTGTCCAGAGCGTACTGACCCATGCACATGTGTGTCATGGGTCCTGTGTGGCCCCAGCACATGTCCCACAGGAGACCCCGGCCACGGGGCCGTGCAGGGTGAGCACAGCGATGACCCGAAGCCTTTGCTGGTTCCACCTACCGGACACGGTGTGTAGAGAAAGCGTCTTTGCGAGGAAGCAACGGCCCACCCCTGGCGTGGAGAAAGGCTTTTCAGAGTGCAGTGTTTCAGCCAGTGGCAGGCACAGGGACTGGCACCTGAGACCACCGCCCCCTCGTTGCCTGTGGGCCCTGCTGCACTTTGGGTTTTTACGTTGGAGTCTGTGCCATTGAATGTGCCAGACGTGCACCGACCAGAGAAGGGGAGGGAGTGGGAAGCTCGAGTGGGAGGCTCGAAAGGCTGAGGCTGCAGTCAGTTACAGGAGGAGCCTGGCGGCGGTCAGTGCTGTCGAGAGTGTGTCTGAGGTGGGCACGGCCGCGTGCCCAGGGAGCCCGCGCTGACCCAGGTTTGGTGGGCCCCCCAGCCTGTCGAGCATCTGTGTGCATGGAGCAGGGGCCACAGGTGACCAGGAGACCCCCGTCTGAGACACTGTGGCTCCCAGGCCTAACGCAGAACCTGGCAGAGACCGTGGATGATACATTGCAGGCCAGTTTGCTCTCAGTTTACCTAGAGCTAGAGATGAGCATGTTTTAAAGTCCACAAGCGCGTTGCCAGACAGACGCAGCAGGCACGTACGTGGGCGCCCGGTCGGGTGAAAATAAGGGTAACTAGCAGATGTGGGCAGCCGCCAGACCGAACCTTCGCTGGCCTGGGTTTGCATGGAGCACGAGACCCTGGGCGGGGCCGGTGCTGCAGCACAGTCGACTGAATCGGGGTTTTGTCTTACCAGCAATTTCACCCCCTGAAAAGACAACCCCAAACCAGCAGCCACGTCCCCAGTGGGATTTACCCAAAGAATGTGCACCCAGCAGAGAGACCACAAATTCTCAGGGGCCAGAGGGGAGCAGGCTGGCGGAAGCGGTGGACCCGAGCAAGCTCCGGAGGTGCCCGGGGCCCTGCGAGGACTGGCCGACCGAGGGGGAGCTCAGGCGCTTCTGGAAGCTGCGGCAGGAGATCGTGGAGAAGGAGCAGGCAGAGGTCCTGCAGGGCCAGCTCCTGGCGGTCGAGTTGCCTCCAAACTTGCGAGCCATGCTGCGTGGCCGGGGGGACGGGCGCCCCGGCCGCAGACACACCCTCAGGTGCGACCCCAAAGTCCAGGCAAAGTTGAGAGCTACTTGCTGTCTGTGAAAACACCGGGGGCGGGGTGTCTGCCGGTCAGCTGCACGGTGGTGCCAGCCGGGCTTTGGGTCCCAGTCGCCCCCTCACGGCCCCGATGGGGGGCTACACAACAGAAGAGCCCTAGTCCCCTGTGTCTGAGTGTGTGTGTGAGTGTCCATGTGCACGGCCCGTGTGTTCACGGTGTGGCATGTGCACGTGTGTGCACTGCACACAGGTGCTGTCTGTGCCGTCTGCTGTGTTGAGTGGTCAGTCTGAGCAGGCCAGGGCCTAGGACCCTTCCGCCCAAAGGAAAGGTGGCCAGGTGCTCACAGCACCCCCCTCTCACCTGTTTTGTGGGCAGCTTTTCAAACAAAAACGTTTGCAGTGTCATCGATCGCGGCCTCGGAAGCACGGAAGCAGGTCATGCGGTTTCCAAGGCTGCCGGCCATTGGTCCTTCACTGTTCACTCAGGGCAGGGTTGTCTGGGCCTTTGCTGTCAGAAACCTCCCCCCACCCCATCATTTTTGTTAGGAGCGTCCAGGTCACTCGGGGGTGTCAGAGTCCGCAGCCCTGGGGTCACCTGGCGCTTGGGGTGGGAGTAGAGGGCACGCCATCGGGGCTGCCATGGCCGGCCCCGCATGCAGGTGGCCGTGAGCCCAGCTCTCCGGTCCTGTTTGTGTCCTGACGTGTGTCTCTGGCTGCATGTTCCTCGTGGGTTGGTTAGGTGCTCTCGGCTGCAACCCCATGTCGTTCCAGAAGGACGGCGCCCTCCCTCAGGGGCGCCCAGCCAGGCCTGGCTTCAGCGAACCCGGCAGTGAGCTGGGCAGGGCAGCTGGAGGAGAGGCGGGCAGCGGCGCTCCGGGAGCTCCAGGAGAAGCAGGCGCTGGTGGAGCAGCGCCGGAGGTCAGCTGTGGCCCGGGTCCCCTCCCCCCCACAGGTCCCCCTCCCCGAGCACCTCGTCCCTGCCCTGCCCCCCCACGCTGTCTGCCTTCTTTCTCTACTTGCCTTTGATTTCTCGTTCTTCCCTGATCCGCTCTCCTCTCCTTTCAGTTACCTGGCTGGCAGGTAATTCTAAAGAATGTTATTTAAAAGTTTTCATCGGTCCTGTCGGCTCTCGGCCCGGCCTTGCTGGGTCTGCTGCACTCGCCCCGCAGCTCGCCCTGCCCGGTCCTGTCCTGCTGGCCGCCGCCCCCCCCCCCCCGTGCTCTGGGCCTCGGGAGGCCTGCAGGCCAGCATGGACCTCGCCCACAGTGCCCAGGGACCTCTCCCTTTCTGGTTTGGCCAGTGGGGAGCCCCAGCCCGAGGCTGGAGAGGAGGGGGGCAGGAGGGAGCACTTTCTGCCCCGCCCCTCCCTGTGAGTGCCCCTGGGGCCTGCACCGCACGTCTCACTGTGGGGTTCTGGCAGCCACTCCTTCCCTCATCCAGGGACCTGGGGTGGCTGTAGCCCCACCGTCTCCTGTGCTGCCCCCGGGGCCCCTGCCCCTCCACTGTGGGGGGCCCGTTGTGAATAAACCCTCCCAGGGCCTGGCCTCCTGTTGCCTCACCTGGGGGAGGCCCGGGAGCGCCTGCTTCCCCTGCTGCCCAGAGAGCCTCGGCCTGCCCAGCTCTGCCCGAGGTGCGCGTCAGGCCAGTGACCGCCCTCTGGACGGATGGACCGGAAGTAAAAGGCTCTCGTGTGAAGCTTTACAGCTGGCAGCAGAAATGCTCGTAAGGGTCGCAGTCATCTCCCCCCGACTGACATGATGTCTTTCTCCAGAGACCAGCAGGTGCTGCAGGAGTGGCGGGAGCAGGCCCAGGCGATGAAGAGGAAGGAGGAGGAGCTGGGCAGACGCCGGCCTCCTGGGCGGGTGCTGGTGTGTGGTGTGGGCCGGAGGTGCGGCACGCGGGGTGGGGGGCCTGCGGCAGCTGCGAGGCCGAGTGCTGGGCTTGTGCGTGGCCAGTCAACCCTGCAGCGCGGTGCGGTCTTGCCGGGTCTCTGCCCGTGGTCCTCTCAGCCACCAGGAGGTCGTGCCCTTGGTTCCCAAGTCCGGGGCAACTGCTCCCACGGCGTGGGAGTTCTCCGAAGGGGGTGGCTGCCTGGTTCTCAGACTCGTCCACAGGGGACAGCAGTGGGCTGTGTGGGTTGGTCGGGGCCCTTGTGTCCAGGCTGTACACAGTGGACTGGCCTCTGCTGCCAGGACTCTGCCAGTCCTAACACCAAAGTCCTGTGAGAGGCAGCTGCCTCGGCCACGTGGAGATGGGGAGGGGCAGCTCACCTGAGCAGAGCATCGAGGCCTGGGCGGGCCAGCGGTCAGAGGCAGAAGGCCTCCACCCTCGTCACCGGCCCATGAAACCCCCGGGCAGCGCAGGGCCAGATCCACAGGGCGGTTTGGAGGCCGCCTGGCGTGGCGTCTGGCCGGCCAAGGAGGGTGGGGGAGCCCCAGCTCGACACCAGTGACAGGCTCTCTGCCTGCTGTTGGCCACGTTTTTGCGTGAAACTCGGGGCTGAGAACAAGGTCAAATCAGCACAGAAGGCCAGAGCCCTGGTGCCTCACGGGCCGCTCGGCCTCCCGGGAGCATCCCGGGCACGGCGGGGGCCTTCCTGCAGCTCCCTGCCCTGGGCTGGCGCTCGCAGCAGGATATCCAGCCCGAGGCCAAGGCCCAGGATGACCACAGGGCAGGGGCTGCTGTCCTGATGGCCACCCATCGGTGTCCTCGGGGACAGCGTCTTTGCTCATGGTGGCAGCTCCTGGAACCCTAAGAGCGCCTTGTCGCGTTTCTCTAGGTGGCATCGGAAGTTCCCTTTGCTACAGACATGCCAGACAAGGCGAGAGCACCAGCGAACCTACCTGGACAGAGGGCACAAAGCAAAGAGAGGTCCCTGCGAGCAGGTGACACGCTGAGGTTGGTCCTTGGGCTGGGCGGGGGGGTGTGGATGCTCCCAGAGCTCAGCCCCGCACCGCCCCACCTCCCCACCCTGGCTCCAGGGCCTTGGCTCTCCACCAGCACCTGATGGGCGGGGCCCAGACCTGTGGGGACTCAGGTAGAAAGGATGGCAGGCAGGACCGTCCCACACTGCCTCCGCTCATTCCCTGGGGACCCCTCCCTGCAGGGACAGCAGCTGCTCGGGGTCTGCGTCCCCCACATCCCTTCACTGTCAGGCCTTCTCAGCCCGACTCACTGAGGCGGGACGGACCCACTCCATGGCCATCCGCAGGGCCGCCAGGGCCACGGGCCCTTTCTGCCACCCCAGCTCCACTGCGTGTGCCTCAGAGGGGACGAACCCGGAGCCCTGGTGCCGGCAGGGCACCTGTGTTTAGGAGGCTGCTTTAGTGCAGCATCCTGCTCCTGTGGTGAGGGTTTGCCAGCGCTGTGTTCCTGGCGTGAAAGCAGACACACCTTTGCCACCGCCACTGGCCCTGACTGCGTAGCACTTAGCGACTGTGCTGTTCCCCCAGTCAGGGTGGGCACCAGCAGCTTGTGTCCCAGGGCACCGTTGGGGGAGACACCCAGGCCTGCAAGGAGGGGTGGGTGGCCTCCGGTGGCCTCGTTGTCACAACCTTTCGGCAGTGAACAGGCCTGAGGGAGGAAAGAAAGTTCTGCTCGGAGCAGCAATTCTGACAGCAGCCTGAGCGCAAGACCCTGGGTCTCCGCAGAGCCGGCCACCAGGGGGCGCTGGAGGAAAGGCTGAGATGGCACCTCCGGCAAGTGCGGGAGCAGCGGAGAGCAGCCTTTGGAGGGACGGCTCCGCTCGGGGCCATACGGAAGGCTGCGCAGGACTCGGACGGCGTGAGTGCTGGTCGGCTCTGCTTCAGACTAGTGGTGTTACCGAAACTGGGCAGGGGTGGGCTTGCCACGCTTTGCAGAGCTCCTGCTTTCTGAAATCCTGGTGGCGGGGGCTCCTGGGCGTTACCGTGGAGGTCGGTCTCCGAAGGGCGATTGTTCCGGGAGAGGAGCGCGCATCTGTACCACATGTGAGCCTTCAGAGGCCCTGAGCCAGCCCAGGGGCTTGGCCGCAGCTCCACTACCAGCACCTGCGCAGTGGGGGGGGGGGGGGGGTGTCTGTGGGATTCTCACTGGCAGGGCCCATAGGGCCCAGGGCTGCCGCCGCGCAGGGGACCAACTGGGGCCGAGGCCGGGCCTGGTGGACTGTGTAAAATGGATAGCCCCCCTCCACGCAGCCGGCGGAAGTGTCCACCCTTCCACAGGGCTGGATAAGCACCTACTGTGCTGGATAAGCGCCTACTGTGTCCCACCCATCGCAGATGACACTTGGGCCCGCCCAGCCCGTGAAAGGGGCTGCTGCCCCCCCTGCATTACCAGGCCTCAGCGCATCGCCAAAGCCGACCCCAGGGGCCTCTGCACCTCTGTTCTCGAAAACTTGCCTGCTCTGCAGGTCCACTGGTGCTGGGCTGCACTGAGCCTGTTCCCAGAGCCAGCGGCACCGTCCCCACAACCCGTCCCAGGGCTCCATCTCGTGTCCCCGCTCCCCTGAGGCCCAAGCAGGGTCTGGGCCACTTCACGGAGACGCTGCCCCGCCCGGAAAACCCTGCTCCTCAGGCCCGCCCAGCACCGTCCAGGCGCAGTGTGTTGTGTGGCCTGGCCCTCGGCACCCCCAGCCCTGCCTCTCAGAGCTTCCAAACGTGTGCTCAGTCCACTACCCCCAGCTTCGACTCCAGAATCTGTTTGTGTGGTGAGCGCCCCTATGTGCTCACAAATTTGATAACCTACTTGAAACGGACCAAATCCTTAAGAGACACCATCTGTGAAAACACACAAGAACAAATTTGAGTCGGCCGGTATCTGTTAAAGAAGAATTGATAACATTGAACAGGTTCGTGGGTGGTTTGAATCCCACTGCACATTTAAGGAAGATGTCACAGAACTAACTCTTTGCCATCTCTCCAGAGGATGGAGCCGAGGGGACACTTGGTGGTCCCTCTGAGGCCAGCACGACCCTGACACCAAACCCAGAGGGAGACACCACATGAGAGGGACCCGCAGACCGAGCCCGAGGTGTGTAGGGAGACCTGTGCACCACGACCGGGGGCCCATCCAGGTGTGCGAGGCAGGTGCACAGCCGGTTTGCCTGACCTTCACACCCACAGACTGAGGAGGAGGAACCCCGCGACCCTGTAACCGAAGCAGGGCAAGCAAATGACAGGATCCACCGTCTGTTCATGTAAAACTCTCGGCAAACTGGGCACGGAGGGGACTTTGTGAACTTGACCAAGAGCATCTACAAACACTGCAGCCGATGTCACACTCTGGCGAGACACCAGATGCTTCCCCCACCCCCTGCCCCAGTCAGGAACAAGGGCAAGCCTCTCGCTGTCCCCTCCAGTGTCGGATGGGAGGCCCCAACAGTCACGGTGACACAGGAAGGGAAATGGCATCCTGCTTAAGGGGGGAGAGAAGAAACTGTCTGTCCTCAGCTCACGTCACCGTCCAGGCAGATGGTTCCAAAAGTCGACCAAGAAGTGATGTGACTAATACGCAGTTACAGCAGAGTCTTGGGTACAAGGTCAGTGCCCCAAGTCAGTCATTTACGGCACACAGCGATGGATGAGTGGAATTTAACATTAAAAACACAATAGTTTGCATAAGCACCCAACAACAAAGAGGGCAGGCGGGACAGCGGGCTGGCGCCAGACACCGCCAGACAGTCGCCGAGGCCACGCAATGGAACTGCGCGAGGCTCGGCGAGAAGCTGGGGTGCAGTGAGTCTGTTTCAACAAGAGTCTCTGGAGCGTGGGACCTGAGCACTGGCCCTTGTGTTCTGGGCTGTGGTCCTGCGCCCTCTAACTGCAAGGGACACTCCGGGGACACACAGAGAGTAGCCAGCAGGAAGCCACAGTGGCCAGGCTGGTGGGACCAGTCCAGGAGCAGCACAGCTTCCGAGTGAGGAAGGCGGTACCCCCCTCCCAGGTCAGAAACTGAGGCTCGGGGAGATGAGGGGTAGTGGCGGCACTGCAGTGACCCCCACGTGTGAACCCGAAGCCGGCTGCCCCCTCCGGGGCCCCTGGGCTACTGGGCGCTGTCATGCCTGGTTCTGCTCTTCTGTGCTCAGAACATCCCGTCCAGTTTCTCAGGGAACGTTCAGTGTCCGATTCCCAGCTGGGTCTCCGGACACGAGGCAGGGGGCACGCTGTCCCTGGAAGGAGACCGAAGTGCCGTGTCCCCTGGCGCCACCCTTGAAGGCCCAGCTCTGCTGCAGCCCCTGAGCTGGGGCCATGCGGGCAGGGAGATGGGCCCCCGCTCTGCATCTCGTTCTGCATCACTCGCTCGCTGCCTTCACCTGTCCGGGAATTGGGAGGCCGGGGGAGAAGGGGTTCAAATCCCCAGGAATGGAGGGGCATACGGCACCCCCATTAGCCAGTTTCACTCTTGTCTTTCCACACGGCTGGCCATCCCCACCTCCGCAGCCACCGGCCTGTGGCTGGGCCATGACCAACAGCAGGGGAGTCTGCACCTCTGAGCAGCTGTGGTCGCGCCAGCGCAGACACGCAGACACGGGCCTGAGAGTCCGACCTGGAGGGGTGGGGGGTGTGGCGGGCAGCACGCAGGGCGAGGGCTCCCGAGACACCGTGGTGAGGGCGGATAGGCGGGCAGGTGTTTTAGGACAGGATCCCAGTTAGCGGCTGTTTTTCTGAGACGTGGTCACCAAGGACCCCTGTCCAACGACATCTGTTTACACTGCCCACAGGACCCCTGGCCCGAGAGAGGAGAGTGGTGCCGTTGGCAGCAAGCATGTTGTTTGGCTCTGGGGGACGGGGCCTGTGGCAACTCCACTGTGACAGGGGCAACGCTCCTGGTGTCGCATGTCAGAGCACAGGCCACCTGCCAAAGGCACGCCTCCCAACCTCACGTGACCACCGTCTGGCCAGTGGGACATGAACAGAGGTGCTTGTCTGGAATGCGCATGTAATGGCAGGTCCGCGGCAGCCGTGACAGGCCCAGAGGTGAAGGCCCACGTGGGCCGGGGCGTGCCAGACTGCAGCCCTGAACAGTCGTCGGGGTCTTTGGCACACTACTCCACTCCAGAGCCGGCATCACTGGGGCCTTTGTTCCAGCCCCTGAGCCTGCACCCTAACGCACAGGCCAGGGGCCTTGCCCCGGAAACAAGGATGTCACCTAGTGGGGAGCGTGAGGGCAGCCAAGAGGCGTCCCCACGAGAGCCAGCAGCCCCTTCCACAGGCCCCAACAGCATAGACTGTGAGGCTGAAAATGGACTGAGAGCTGGGTCTGGCCAGGCCCATGCCAGGGCCCCAGGCCCCAGCCCACCCTGCTCAGCTCCCTGATACCCACCCACCCAGCCAGAGACTTGGGCCGTGAGGTCTAGAGAGGTCCATCTGGGAAGCCCCCCAGTCCCCAGGAGGCTGTGGGACCCTTCTGAGCACGCTTGGTGGTGGGGATCGGGCCTCCACAGCCGGGGTCAGTCTCGAACCTCCGGGGTCCTCTCCCAGGACGTTGGCTGACAACACAAAGGACCTTGGAACCCTGGCCCTGGGTGTCCCCTGTCCCAACCTGACCAGCAGGCCCACCTCCCAGCTGAAAGCCCCGCCCACCAGCAGCCCCCGGGTTTAGTGGTGGGCTGGGTGCCTCGTTCCGCAGAGTCGGCCCAGTCGGAGCAAGGTTGAGGCCAACAGATCCGGGGGAAGTGTGTTCGGACAGAAAGACATCGCGGGAAACAAGACTGAGACCAGAACTAGCCCCTCGGGGCCACATTAGAAAACAGCAACTGTGAGAGAAGCCGTGGAAACGGACACTCAGAAAACTGAGGATTCTGGGGTTGAGTTAAAAACATGGCAAAACACACTTTAATTACAAAGAACCTAGATAGGTGAATTTGGGCAAGGCCTCGGGAGCAGAGAGGGGGCCGCCGCAGGCCCAGGAAGGGACTTGTCTCCAGACCGAAGGCCCCGTGTCCTGAGAGCCTGGGCTGCCTCCGCAGTCTGGCAGTGGTCTGCTGTGACTGCTTTCCGGCCGGGCCAGCGTGAAAGAAAGGACTTAGAAAGTTACTTCCTGTACCGCCCTTCTCCGAGTGGGAGCATCTGTGGAATGGGTACTCCCAAACAAGGGGTGGGCAGAGAGGGAGGGAGTCAAGGTCCAGGATGGGGAGCCCCTCCGTGCACCAGGTAGGGAGCCAGGGGCCCGGGGTCTGTGCAGGGGAGACAGGCCTGTCCGAGGACTTGCATGGGGAGAGGACTCAGGGACAAGTATGGAGAAAGCGAAATGCGTTTAATCCCACAGAGAATACAGGTGTTTTAGGGAGAACACGGAAGCAGGGGGTTAGCAGCATCTAACGTTCCCTGGCTGTGAGGACACAACCCCGTGTTTCCGAGCCTGCAGCACGTCTGCCCCGATGACAGAGCCTGTGCCACAGGCGGAGGTCCAGGTTGTGCCCCAGGGAGACGGGACCAAGGCCCCTTGAGGACAGGCCCTCCCTGGGGTGGGAGGGCTGGCACTGCAGACACACTAGGCCAGCTTCCCAGGGCAGAGGTGGGAGGGGCCTGCCCCTTCCTGCTGGCACTGGCCACCTGCAGGCCACCTGTCTCCACGTCACGTCCTGGCCCCCCGGATGGGCCGGGCAGGCCAGGGCTCTTGGAGCAGAGCCTGGGCCAGATCCCAGGCTCGGATTCCCTCCACTGTAGAGATGCTGGGCCCATCTCTGTGCCTGGGGCGGGGCGGCCACTGCAGCTCCACGTTGCTGGGCAGCTGTGCGTCTCCAGTGGCACGGCCATCAGCTGGTCGGGATGGTGCAGGGCAGGAGCAGGAGCGTGGATTCTCGTTCCTCACTGGCTGGCAGACATCTGTGCACAGAGACCCTTGGGTGGGCCCTGGGAGTGTGGCTGTCCTCACGAGGGCAGGGCCAAGCAACTAGTAGAAGTCTCAGGGGACAGGGTCTGGGGCCCCAGGGACAGCACACTGCACCCCTCACAGGACAGTGCACAGCAGGCTGGCCCCAGGCCACCTGGGTGGCTAACATCCCCTCCTTCCTTCCCTAAAGGCCAGAAAGCTCCAGGATGAGGCGGAGGTGAAGCAGAAGCCAGGTCCGCCCTGAGCAGCCGCCGTGAGCGCCTGGCCCTCCCCGGGGACCTTCCACCGCGCTGGCCTAGCAGCCTTGGAACGTATTTTCTAACAAGAAATGTTAAGCACCTGGAAACGCTTGCAAGTGCTGATGGCGAAGTCTCACACACACCGACAGACGTGTCTCCGGCCCGGCAGCCGGGCTGGGGCCGGCGGCTCCCTCGGGCGTGCGGGGTCCTGGGGCCGTGGTCTCCCCGAGCTCTCTGTGCAGGCAGCCTGCTTTTTGGGTTTTCACCCGTGTTGCTTCTCGGAGCCCTGAAGGTTTCAGTTGCCTCCAGAGGAGGAAGAGGACACTGCAGACCAGGCCCACTGCACTCGTTTTAGCAACCGGCCGCCACAAATGTAGCAAATGTAGCCGGGGTGTCCCTGACTCGGCTGTTTCCGCTCGGGGGATACACTCGCCAACTCCTGCCACGCTACACGGCCTTGAGGGGCCGTGGGTGAGCGGCCCGTCACCTGCAGCACACTCTCCCCTGCCCTTCCCCCTTCCCCGTGCCCAACCCCTGCCCTGAGTGTGGGACAGTGAAATGCTGCCGGGGCCACCCCCGCACCCAGGGTGCCCGGAAGCCGTCCCGGTCAGCCCTTTGCCATCTCTCACGCTGGCTCCTCAGCCAGGCTCCTCTGCACACGCTGCCCCCGGGGAGGGACGCCGAGCCCCGTCGGTGGCCGCTCCCAGGCCGTCCTCCTCCTGTGGTCTCTGGGATGCGTGTGTCCCACCTGGGGCCCAACTGCAGTCACGTCACTTCTTCCAAAAGTCCCTTTGCTCCAAGAATCTCAGCATCGGGCGGCAAAGCCCATCCCTGACAGACGGCTGCAGTGGGAATTGGGCCGGCAGCTCAGCTGGTCAGAGCGCCGTCCCGATGCACCCAGGTTGCAGGTTCAACCCCGTCAGGGCGTGGACGGTGCACGAGTGGGCGGGACAGCAGGTCCATGTCTCTCAGGTCAATAAAAGATTCAGGGTCAGCGTCCCGTGGTGGCGACAGGCGTGATCTCGCCCCTGCAGCTGTGTCTGTGCATCACGCTGGTTGGTTCCGGTGGCCTCAGGCTGTGCGTGCTTCTCAGGCCACTGGTAGTGACAGCCCCTCTGGGTCCTTGCCGGTCAGGCAGGTGTTAAAGATGTCACCTCTGCTCCACTGTGCCCCACCCCCTCCTTTCATGTCCTTCCTGTGCTTGCTGTGCATGAACAAGGCCAGACCGTGTCCCCGCCACCCCTCCATAACTTGGGGCCACGTGACAAGCCGTGCAGGGGCTGCCTAGGGCTCCCCTCGTGCCCCTCTGTAGGGAGCTGGGGCTCTGCGAATGCAGAGCAGAAGCTTCCAGATCTTCCTCAGGCTTAGGCCACAGACGAGCGTGGCATGATTCCTTCAGCTGTGGCCCGTGCTCCCTGTAGGCGGGCAGGTTACCTGGGTACCCTGTGCTGCCATAGGATGGCCCCCGGCCCACCTGCCTCCACCCACACCGGGGCATCGACAACCAACTGCAGAGCAGGCCCAGTGAGTACCTGGCGGTGCCCAGGCTCCTCTGCCCCCAGGACTGCTCGGGGACCCGCCACAGCCTGAGTTCTTGGCACCTACACACCTCAGCACAGAGAACAGGCCCGACTTCAGACACAGCTGGCTCAGAGCGGGGGCCGCAGATCAGCGGTTTTGAAACCACGGCACTTGCTTGGGAAAGGAAGGCCCTACCCTGAAAACGTTCTTGCTCAGGTGCCTGCAAGATCGTTTGGGCTCCCAGATCTGGGCTGGTGGGGATTCGGGGCCACTGCGGGGTGCCGCCTCGCTCACAGGGGACAGACGTGGGACGGCACTGGTCATGGGGTTGGGGGGCAGCTCCTCAGGCACCCACCAGGGTCCTTGAGCATCTACACTGGCCACATGAAACACCAGTGGGGCAGCCACATGGGGTGGGAACAGGTTTGCTGCTGCTGCCTAACCATGGCCCGAGCCGGGGGGGGGGGCAGGGGGGAAGCCCACTGCTGGGGACGGAGGTGGTGCTGATGAAGGTGACGCCGGGAGGGAAGCCTGGCCGGCTCTGCACCCCACTCAGCTCGGCCTAGGATGGGCACCAGCACATGGTAAGTGGTGCCCACCAGGCTTTGGTTCTCAGGAGCCTCATCTTGTCCTCCTTCCAGCAATGGCCCAGCACGACACTTGCTGTGAGGTGGCCTGTGTCCACGCAATGGGACCCATGCTGGCTCTCACACCTGTAGCCTGTGGGCACTGGCTCTACTGAGAACCATAGTCTGTGATCCATGGCTCTGGCCCTGGGTCAGGCAGCTCCGGAAGCCCGCAGCTGTGCCCGGCGAACCCACCCAGGAGGCCAGCCCCAGTGAGCTCCAGTAAGAGGGAGTGGGGACAGAAGGCGGATGGTGCGCAGGCAACACCAGCCACCTGGCCAGGTCACGGTACATCTTTTCGTTCCGGTCCTGTGGAGCTCCTGTGAGTCTCCCATCTTGTGGGAGACAGGGAACAAGGTGTGGCAAAGGCCGTACCAGCTGGGAGACAGCCCTGGGCAGTGCTGGGCAGACTCCAGTGGCTTCAGGGGCTAGGAGGAGGGACATGGGATCTGGGACATGGAGGAAAGTCTCCTGAGAGACTGGAGGACGCCGGCCTGCGTTCCTCCGGCATGTGCTGCGATCCAGGCGTGCGGAGGCCGGAGGCCAGAGGCCAGCGTCTGTTCCAGGATCTCTGCTAAGGGTGGACAGAAGCTCCCTGAGCCTCGCTCCCCAACCTTGTACTGCTGGCGGCGGTGAGGCGCGGCCAGGTCCCTGCGGTCTCCCTCGGCCTCGCCCAGGCGCTTCCTCAATCGCCCTGCGCCCCGCGGCCGCCTGAGGGCGAACACGAGCGCCGCTGCAGCGACGCTACGGTCCCAGGCCGCGCCAGGGGTGGCGGCCATGACGCAGGGTGCGGCCGGGCGGGGCCGGGCGGGGCCTGACGGCGGGCTGCGTCCCAGTCGCCAGGACAACCGGCTGCCGGCCAGTCTCCGGTGCCCGGCCAGGCGCAGCAAGCCCGGCTCAGGGGGCCGGCCAGGCTCCGGGCAAGGTCACTGCAACAGGCTGGGCCCTGTGCGCAAGTGTTCGCGAAAGTCGGGAGATTAGCACGGAAAGCGTGCACGGGAGCAGGACCTGGGCGGGGGTCCGATGTCCACTCCGCACTTTCATGTCCCACCCCGTGTCGCAGGCTGGCTGTGCGCCGGGGCCTGTTCTCCCTCCCAGTGTTTGTCTCTTCACACTGTGAACTGGTCACGCGGCGCTCCGGCCCCTCCAGCGGTGGCGCGGTCGCACGCAGCCAGCTGTTTCCCTAGCAACCCAGGGTGGCAGGTTTGCGACCGGGACTTGCAGATGGGATCACCCTCCCTAATCCTGGAGCGGCCACCCCGGGTGCACAGGGCACCCAGAGCGACATTTCTTCACACCAGGGCCCTAGCACACGGGAGCCCCCTGGTGCCCCCTACCCGGGAGGGAGAGACTGGGCCGCTGCGGCGCGCACACTTGTATCCCCTTGGCGCCCCGCGTCTCCTCGGCCCGGTCCGACCAGCTTCCTGCTTGCTCCACCGGGACTTCCTCCCCTCAGTGCCTGCCGGGTGGCCACTGGGCGCCAGACCCGGAGGCGGTGGCCCAGTGTACCGGCCTGGGGGGCGGAGAGGAGAGGAGGAGACCTGGGGCCGGGTGGGAGGGGCCCCGGAAGGCCCAGGGCAGGGGTGTGGGAGGGGCCCCGGAGCAGAGCTAGTGAAGGTTCCCCCTGCCCCTTGCTTCTCACTCTTGGGCCCTTTCCGCGGACGCTCGCAAGCAGCGCACCCAGAGGCCAGGCGCACACCCTGCCGGATCCCAGGAGCTGCGCAGTGCGTCTGCACGCCCCGCTCCGGAGGCGGCGCGGCCCCCGCGCGCGTCTGTGGAGCCCGGTTCCGGGGCAGGGGAGCGGGCCGGTGTCCCGCGTACCCTCCACGCCCCCGGCCCGCGTGCAGTGGCTGGCCGAGCCGGGCTTTGTGACGTCAGGCGGCCGGCGGCGTCACGCGCGGGCTGACCCGGAGGCGGCGGGCAGGCAGGGCGGCCGGGACGCGGGAGCATGGAGCTACGCGCCGGCTGCCGCCTGCCCGTGCGGGTGGAGCAGGTCGTCAATGGCGCGCTGCTGGTCACCGTAAGCTACGGCCAGCGAAGCTTCGCGGGGATCCTGCTGGACTGCACGAAAAAGTGAGCACAGAGGGAGGCGCGGGCCCCGGACACCCCTGAATCCCCTTGGGACCCCCGACCCAGCCCAGGACCGGACCTAGGTCCTGGGCAGCGCCGGCGCCCGCTTTCGGTTTTCCCAGCTCGGGTTTCGGGGCGCGCGAGCGCGGCCGCCACTCAGGGGCGAAAGTGGCTCTCAAAGTCCTTGCTACTTTTTGGGCCGGGGGCAGGAGGGGCCTGGGCGCGGGCCGGGGAGCCGAGTCCCGGCCCCGGCCCCGGCCCCGGAACTCCGCGCGTCTGGCATAATTAATGCACTTTTCTTTGTTAGGACGCACTGTTGAATTAGGCTGTTTTCGGAATTGTCATCCGTTGGGGGTGGGGGGAGTGGGTTCAGATGCGCAGGACTTGTTGTGTTAGTTACTCAACCGGTGCTGCCCTGTCTGATGTCACGGCGCCCCCAGGCTCCTCGGAGCGACTGGGGCTGAGGTTTCCATTGGTGGCCTGCAGTCGTGTCCAGTGGCGGCATTTAAAACATGGGGGCGGGGGGCAGGGGTGGCGTTGCAGGAGCGAAGGTACAAGTTCTGCTGGTTTCCGGGGAGGAGGGTCCCCGCAGGCCGCGGGCAGGTCGGTGCAGAGCCGCACCTGTGCTGCGGGCCCCCTGCTGCGGGAGTCTCCTGGACACAGCGTCACGTGGTGGTGAGCTGTCGGCAGATAAATGATGAGGCATCGCCCAGGCGCTAAGGTCTGGGCGCTGCTGCGGCCTGCGCCCCACCGGGGCCCCACCCGGCTTTCCTCGCAGATGTCGGACTTTTTCCCCCGCCCCCGCCGTTTGTCCTGCCGCTGTCCAGGTGGCCACCACTCCTCCCCTGCCATCCCACTGACATTATCTCGTCCCGGGATGTGCCAGAAGCCATGTATCACAAGTCATGTGACTCAACACAAGGCCTCCTGGTGACTCGTCCTGCTCCTCAGTGGCTGCTCGGTGGGGCCCAGAGACACTGGGGGCTGCGGCGCGGCTACCAAACCGGTGCCCTGGGTTGTCCCCATCCACTGGCGGCCACCACTTCCTCTGTCAGGCAGGGCTGCAGGCCCAGGCCTGCCCCTGCCCCGGGCTCTGTGTGGAGAGGAGCTCTTGCCGCAGAAGTCCCCCCGCCTGCGTGCTGGGCTCCCTGACTCAGGACAAGGGAGGCTGTGGGGGACAGGCTGACTGGTGGCCGGGGGTGTCTGCAGAGGCGCCAGGCGCCCTTCCTGAGGCCTGTGTCTAACCTGGTTGGAAACTGCACTGCCCCACCCCCTTCCCCACCAGCTCAGGAGGGAAGCGGCCCAGCTGGGATCTGGCAGCTGGAGGACATGTGGGCGTCAGCCCCCCTGCGGCCACGCTCCACTGCAACCGGAGCCGCCACAGAACCAGGACCTGGCCCTTGGTGGACACGGCTCTGCTTGGCGGGGTCTCTTCCTGACTTGAGCCTCCCCCATCCACTGCCTCCCACCACCCATGCTCTGTCCTTGTGGAGAATCTGAAGACGAACTTGGCCTCCTGGCCCTCGGCCCCCTGAGGCTTGGGCCCACCCGGACCCCTTAGCCGTCTCCCCGAGGTCCCCGATCCACATCTCTACCCACAGCATTACGAGCTGCAGTGCTCAGGTGACAGCCTGCTTGTTGGGCAGAGTCCAGGGACCTGGTGATTCTGGCAATGGGGGGCTGGCCTCGGGTGTCAGACTCCACTGCACCCACCTGCCTTCCCTGAGACCCCTTCCTTCGCGTGCCTGGCGCTGCTTCTCAGTGTGTGATGGACACGGGGTGCTGACTGGCAGGGCAGAGCCTGTGTGCTCCCCCCGGGGACCCTCAGTCCCAGAGCGGTGGGTGTGCTGAGGCGCCCAGGTGAAGCTACTGTGCAGGTGCCCCGTGTCTCCAGTCACGGTCACGTGCAGACCTGAGGGCCTGGGAGCCCCGCCCAGGAACTCCCCCGCCCGTCTCTGCTGGGACAGGGCCATCCCTCTAGAGAGGCTGGTCCCACAGATTCCTGGGGCCAAGCCACCAGCTGGGGGTCGATTGTCGGGGCCTTGGCGGAGGGGAGAGGAGTGCGGAGGCCTGGTGGGGCCCCGGCAGGCGTAGCTCCTGCCCGTCGTCGTCTGCATCTGCAGCGAGCTGCCCAGCTGCTCTGTGATTTCCACCGAAATCTGCAGGACACAGGGTGCTCGTCCACTCCCACACTCATAGATGCTCGCTGAGCACCTACTGTGTGCCAGCGAGTGGGCTATTCCAGGCGCCCTGCTGAGAAGGGTGCCCCTAAGGGTCCACGGGCCCTGGCTGGCCCTGCTCTGCCTCTCCAGGCTGGGGCGCAGGGTGGGGTGGGCATTTTGTGGGTGGTTAGAGGGTACACCTCTGATTGAGGACCTCAGGTTGGGTGGCTCTGGCTGAGGGGTGGCCCGAGGACAGCAGAAGTGGAGGGTGGCCTCAGAGACAGTGGGGGGAAGGCCGGCTGCCTCGACTCTAAGCTGGTGTTTCTCACGTTGCCCCAGAATGTCGTTGCCTTGCAGGCCCCCAGGCCCCTCTGCTGGACAGGGTGGGGTGCAGGCATTTGTGACCCACACCCCAGGGAGGGTGGGAGTCGGCACGCAGGCTCTGGAGACACAGCCAGCTACCAATCCTCAGGCAGGAGAGCAGCCCCGCTGCCTGCTGGGCGCACCCTGGTCCAGAATGGAGGCTCGGCCACCGGGGGCTGCTTCCAGGACCATGCACTGGACAGACACTAGACCCAGACCCCGCTGGGCACATGCTGCCTGCCCTGGGCAAGCGGGAGGGACGGAGGGCGAGGTGCCCAGTGTGGGCTGGCACCACACCAGGGGACCGGGCTCGGGTATGTCTCCAGAGCTTCTGCCAGGAGGTGGCAAGGGAGTATGTGGGCTGAGGGCCTGGCCTCCAGTTGCTGGGGTCTCCAGAGGGCCTGGAGGGCCGCACTCAGCTGCGACGCTGCTGATAGCTCCCAGACCTTTTCGTCCGGAGCTCTGGGACCACCTGGCCCCCAGTGACCCTGGGGGAGAGGCAGGCTTCCCTGTGTGGCCCTGGACAGGGGGCTGCTGCGATTTCCCTGCCAACAGGTTTGCGGACCCCAGAGGCCTCTGTGCTCCAGCAGGCCCAGGGCCCCCGTGGGTGCTGGCAGCTCAGCTGGGGCCTCTGCCCTGGGTGCACGGGCACAGCTTGACCCCATGGAAGGGCTGGGCCCTGGGGGTGAGCCCTTGTCCACTGTGCCCTGTGCCTTGTGCCCTGGGGCCTGGTAAAGTTCCTCCCACTGGGGACAGGTTGCTGAAGCCCTTCTGGGAGAGAGTGGCCAGGAGTCAGCAGCCCTGGGCCGTGAGCACAGACCACTCTGCTGGCCCGTGGCTCTGAGCCTCCTGCCCCGCCCCAGACCTGGCATGGCAAGGCCATGCACTTGGGGGCTGTTGAAAGGGCTGCAGCCCCAGCCGCCGGGGCACCTGCTCTGGGATCCCACACTGGGAACCGAGCCCTCCCGCCTGCTGGCCGCTGTTTACCCACCAGGCCAGCGTGGGTGTGGCCTGGCCGGGCAGCCGCTCCGGGAAGGAAGTGTGGCTGCCTGTCATGCCAGAGTCATGGGGCCCTGGCCCTGCCGGCAGCAGGGCCTTCCGCAGGGCTGCCGCTGCCGTGGGGAAGGACCCCCGCCACCTCCGAGGGGCAAGCACACCGGGGAGGGCCGGGGCCAGGCAGGGAGGGGCTGGCTGACCCCCCAGGGGCCCATACCAAGGGCTGTGGCTCAGGCTGTGGGCCCCCTGAGCCGTGGGCCTCCTGGTCTGAGAGGCAAAATAAGAGACTTGCAAGTCAGGAGGTTCTCAGCTCTCACCACTGGTCTGGAGCGGCACAGGGTGGACGCGCCCTGCACAGTTCGTGCCTGGACAGTGTGCCAGCCAGCACCTCGGGCAGGCGCGCGGCAGGCCCTGGGCTCAGGCGCCTGTCCCATGTGGCCTCGCCGCTGGCCTGGCCACATGTCCGTCTGAGGGCCAGAAGTGCCGGTGGCCCTGGGCACTCCGGGATGGTCAGCCTCTCTCTAGTGTCACAAGACCCTTCCAGCCAGTGGCCAACGGGGACGTTGTCCGCAGACTGGAAGGTGGCCGTTGCTAACCTTTCCTTTTCACTGGTCAGACTCAGAGAGGAAGGCAGAGGTGCCACCTCCCCGACTTCGCTGCTTATCGCTTGGGTAAAAGTCTATTTTTGTGCTGAAAAATAACAGCTTTTAGCAAAGGCAGCCTCACCAATGGAGTCACATTTGTTTCAAAGTGAGGAGCTTGCGGCGGGAGAGAGGTGTGGCTCTGGGCTCGTGCTCAGTTTGGAGCGAGGCCGGTGTTTTCCTGAGGCTCCGAGCCACCGTCGCCTCCGCTCTCAGCCTGAGAGCTGCACCCAGTCGGGCCTGGGGCGGCCCAGTGCCCCAGGGGGCAGCCTCTGGCCCAGGAGCCCTGGGGTGCTGGCTACGCCTCGTGCCTCAGCTGGGGGTCCTCACGGGAGGTGGGCCTCCGACCTTCTTGAGCCCCCTTTGGTGGCTGCTCCCCATGCGGGGGCCAGGGGTGCCAGGCAGGGGTGCCCCCAGGCTGTGGTGGCCAGGGCAGCATGGAGGACCCCTTGCCCAAGTGCGGTGGGGATGGTCAGGGCCCATCAGCCTTCAGGACTCTGGCTGAGTGTCCCAAGCCCTGTTCCCTAGACACAGGTCAGGCTCTTGGGACTGGCCCAAAGGCCGTGCTAGGCCGTGGCCCTGCAGGGCCTGGGGTCGGGGGGTGGTGGGCTCACCACCGTCCTGACTGCCACTTCTGTCTCCCCCGCCAGGTACGGCCTCTTTGGCCTGCCCCTGCCCACTCCACTGTCCCAGGCCGAGAATGCCCCTGTCAATGGCTGCCAGGGCCCAGCCGCCACTGAGGAGGACGCAGAGCCCATGCAGCTGGGGATGGGGCCCCCACCGCCACTGCCTACCTCTCCCGAGCCGTTCCAGACCCTGTTGACCCCGCTGCCTGCTGGGAGCCTGTCCCTGTTTCCGCCGTATTTCGAAGGTGCCCCCTTCCCGCCGCCGCTCTGGCTGAGGAGCACCTACCAGCAGTGGGTTCCGCAGCCGCCTCCCCGGCCCATCAAGAAGACCAGGAGGCGCCTGTCCCGCAGCGGCAGCCGTAACTCTGACTCGGGCCGGCTGACCCTGAGCCCCATCTGCCTGCGGCCGCGGCGGGTGCTCTGTGAGAAGTGCAAGAGCACCCTGAACACCCCGGAGGCCAGCCCGGCACCTTCCACCGTCCCCCGGCCCCGCCGGAGACTGGGCAGCGGCCCTGACCCAGACAGGGAGCCCCACAAGCAGGGGAACCGTGAGGGCAAGGGTGCCACCACTCCGGCCCCGGCCCCGGCCCCGGCCCCGGCCAGGAGGAGCAAGAGAGAGCGGCGGGAGGAGGAGCAGGTGAGAGTCCCTCGGAGCCCAGCCATCCGGATCTCCTACAGCACGCCGCAGGGCGCGGGCGAGGTGGTGCAGATCCCGCCCCGCGTGCACGGTTCCCTGGAGCCCTTCCACCCCCCGCAGGCCCAGGAGCCCACGGCAGCTCCGGACAGGTCACCTGAAGGCTCCTCTGCCTCCATCCCCAAGCTGAAGCTGACACGGCCTGTGCCCCCCAGTGCTGACCTGCTTCCCCCCAAGATCCGCCTGAAGCCACACCGCCTGGGGGCCGGCAAGCAGCAGCCCGTGTACAAGGCAGAGTTGGTGGAGGAGCTCGATGGCCTTGGGCAAGGCCCCCCGGCCCACCCGCCTGCGCCCCCCGCCCCCGCCCACATTGTGCTGGTGGAGCTGTCCTCAGGAAGTTCTGGCGAGGAGGACGACGCCAAGGGGTGTCCCCAGGGTAAACTCGCCAGCTGCCCGGGGAGCACAGCCACCTCGGCCCGGGCATCGGTGTGCAGCAGAGACGGCCTGGACGAGTCCAAGTCGTCCAGCTCAGAAGTGCTGTCCCCAGACACCTGCGACCCACCTGCTGGCACCGGCGTGTCTGCGACATCCCCCTCCGGGCAGGCGGGGCAGACGGTCCCGCCCCTGACGGTCAGGCTGCCCACACAGAGCCTCTCCCAGTGCGTCACCGAGGACGGGAGGACCGTGGCCGTGGGGGACATCGTGTGGGGTAAGATTCACGGTTTTCCTTGGTGGCCGGCGCGCGTGCTTGACGTCAGTGTCAGCCAGAAGGGGGACGGGGCGCCCTCTCGGCAGCAGGCGAAGGTCTCGTGGTTCGGGTCTCCAACTACATCACACTTGTCCACCTCCAAACTCTCCCCCTTCTCGGAGTGTTTCAAACTGAGGTTTAACCGTAAGAAGAAAGGGCTGTATCGGAAGGCGGTATCGGAGGCCGCCGGTGCCGCGGGACACGTGGCCCCGGAAGTCAGGGAGTTCTTAGCCCAGGTTGACACGTGACTGGGCCCCCTGGCCAGGTGAGTGTGAGTGCCGCGGGCTGCCGCTGCGCCGCTGTCCCTTCGCTCCAGGTGGGGGCGGGGTGCGGTGGAATGGTGTGTGGGTGGGGGTCGGGGTCCTCAGCCACTGGCCTCACTGCTCCGAGGGGCCCTCTGGGACACGTCCTGCAGGCTGGCAACGACAGCAGCCTTGCAGGGCCCAGAGACCTGCTTTTAGCAGGGGCCCAGCCGTCAGCCGCCTTTTCGAGCACAGAGCTGGTTGCAGGGTCGTGGCTTGCTTCCAAAGTGCCCCGAAGGAGCTCCGTAGCCCATGTGAGACTGAGAGAAAGGGGTGCGGTTTTCAGAGACGGAAGTTTCAGACGGTGGGGTGCAAGTGGGGTGGGGCCCCCCTGCCGTTACCACTCTGAGGCAGCATGTCTTCCTGCCCCCCCCCCCCCGGCTCGCACGCAGGGGTCTTGAGCCAGCAGGAGCCAGGGAGGCCCTGAGCTGCCTGCCCTCAGGTGTGGCCCTGCCCCTCCACCTGCTGACGGGGTGGGCTGTGCTGTGTGTAGACGGCAGGGGGCTTCCGGCCTCTGGAGGCGGCTCTGGGTCTGTCCCCGAGCCGGTGTCTCGCCCTCCGCCTCTCCCTTCAGGAGAACCGTGTAGGCTTTCCAGCCCGGTCTGTCAGGTGGGCCTCTGGGAGCTGAGGCCTGTCCCCGTGTGGGGCTGGGGGCGTGACTGGTCTCCACTCGGGGTGTCAGGCGCAGCGAGGGGCTGCGGCCACGCTGTGCAGGCAGCCCTTCGGCCCCAAGGTGCTGTGTGTCTCCTCTGATGGCTGCCACCCGCTGGGACCTGGGCAGTGGGTGTGTCTGGCGGGTCACTGGCCCTTGGAGGATAGGATCGGTCCTCCACCCCCACTGGGCTTCTTCTTTGGTTTCTGTGACCTTCAAGCACCCACCTGTCTGGTGCCACGGCTTCCCAGGGGATGAGCCGTGAGGCCTCAGCAAGGACCGCCAGTGTGTGACTGGGGTTTGTGGGGCGCCTCACTGCTATGACTCTCACAGCGGGGTCCCGGGGTAGAGGCCATGATGGGGGGCCTCGTCCCCATCCTGTCTGCCCACCTGCCTCCTGCTCGGGCCTGGTCGCCACACTGAGCTGCTCTCAGGCGGTGGGCGTGAACTTCCCTCGCCAGCCAGGCTCACCTCCCCGCCAGCTCTGGGCCCTGTGGTGGGTGCGGCCCTGACCTGGTGGCAGCAGTGACCCCCCCAGGAGCAGGGTGGCAGGTCCACGAACAGGCCCGAGGTCCTCTGACTCCCTCCCCGGGACTTCTCCCTGCTGTGGCCTGCCTCAGACCCTGGGCTGCGGCTGCGCCCTGCCAGCCGGAGGACCGTCCACAGGGCGCCCTCTCACTCTGTGCTCCTCGCCGACCCCGGCCCACCCCTCTGCTCACAAGGTCCCTCCTGCCTTTGGCTGAGTCTGGAGGCGGCGTGGATGGGGCCCCTCTCGTGTGTGCCCATTTGTCATGGAGAGAGTGGCAAGCAGGTCCGTCCTCAGTGTCCTCCAAGTCTCGGCCATGGTGGACAGTTACGGGGGTGGTGAGCCCACACAGCATCCGCCCAGTTGGAGCCTGCAGCCCTGGAGCCCAGCATGTCGCTGCTGGGAGAGTTTGGCTCTGGGCATCGGGCGCTGACTATGGGCAGAGGCGGAAGGAAGGATCTCTCTCGCCAGGCGGCTCTGCCTGCTGAGCGCCTGTGCCCACAAGCAGCCTCTTCTGAGCTCGTTCTTCTGGCCCTCGGCTCTGGGAGCATGGCCGGCCAGGGCTCTCTTGGCACCAAAGCACAAAGCGGCTTTGCCTGATTGGCTCTCTGGTTTCGTATCTTGAGGATTAGACTGTGAGGGAGCAGAGGTCCCACACCAGCCCAGCGGCTGACCTGCTGCCACCCATGAGCCTCAGCGTCCGGCTCCAAGTGGCCTCCTGGTGGAAGTTTGCTTTAAGGAGAACCCAGGAGTCACTTTTACTGGGACGGTGGACTTCTGTGGGTGAGGCAAGGGCCGGCACTGCGGTGCCTCCCCGAACCGGCAGGTGAAGTGCCACCAGGGTCCTCGCCTCTGGGGCCAGCAAGCAATGCACTGGTTCTGTACGAGCTGGACAGGCCCAGGGCCACCGCCGGGTCTCCGAGAACCAGGCCCTCCCCCTGACTCCTACCCCAGTGGTGGTCTTCGGCAGGCAGGGAGCCTCGGGGGCTCACACGACACAGTCTCCCTCGCCCGCCTTTAGGGGAGCAGCTCCAAGCACTGCAGTGGCCACTTCACTGAGCAGGCGGCGCCAGTGGGGCTGGCCTCACCCTCTGTCACCTTCCTTTGGCCTCGGTCTCAAATGACTGCACACTGGGTGGTGAGAAGCAGCAGAAACTCATCCTTGCAGTTCTGGGGGCCGAAGTCAGAAACCAAGGTGCCCGCCGGCTGCGCCCCCCTGTGGAGGCTCCACAGGGACATTCTCCCAGCTCCCAGGGGGCAGGGCTTGCAGCCGCGTCACCCGATGTCACCTCTCGTCTTCCGTGTTGACAGTCCCCGTGTCTCCCTCCAGTAAGGCCCCTGCGACACAGTGTTTGTGGGCCGCCTGAGTGATCTGCTCTTCGCAGTTTTCAGTGGAATCTCCCGGGCAGCGCCTTCCCCGTGGAAGGTCATGTTCCGCTTCCGGGTTTGGGGCCTGACGTCTTTGGGGTGCCACTTGCCTACTGCGCCCTTCCAGCCACCCCACAGACTCGTCAGGAGCTCCTGGGCAGTGCAGGCCCCCAGCTTCTTGGACAGAAGGCCACCCGGACCAAGGGAGGGGTCAGCAGTACAGAAGTTGATGGCACCTTCGGTGAAGGGGGGCCCTTGTTCCAGAAGGACCTGCGGCCCTGCTGATTGGTTGCGCACCGGAGGTGTGGGTCCCGGCTGCACCCGCTTCCTGACGACGATTCTCCAGGGAAATGAAGATATGCATCCAGAAAACCAACCGGGAACCCGCGCGGTGCTGCCGGCGGTCACTGAGGCTCACTGGCGGACGAAGACAAAAGCATCCAGACCGTGCCTCCGGAGCCCGACTTCTTAAATGTGTCCTTTCCTTGAGCTGCCTGCCCCGGTCTAGCTTCTGTCTTCCAACCCCGAATAAAAACGTGTTTCTGCTCCTGAAGACCATTTCCAGCCGACGTCCAAGCTGCTTCCAGGGAATTCAGGTCCCTGTAATTATTTTGTTCCAGAAGGAACCAAAGCCCACGATTCTGAGCCAGCAGTGGGGGCTCAGTCCCTGCCCCACCTTCACCCCAGCACCACCCGCCGCTTCCTCTGGGCCACAGTGCCGGCGTCAGGGAGGGCTGGGTGGCCGGGCGGGTGTGGCGGACACAGCGGGCGTGGGGTACAGTGATGTTCGGGGAGCTTCTCCAGGTGTTTGCAGCTGCTCCTCTGGGGTCGGGGGCTCTGGGCTGGCCTTGCCCCCCACCCCCTGGCCTTCTAGGCCACATGCTGCTGAGGTGCCTTACGTCAGGGCCCAGGGCTCTGCCAGAACCCTCGTTGCTTCCTGGTCTCTGTCACACGCCCCAGTTCCCCTCGCTGGCCCAGCTGGTGCCCGTGCCCCACCACCGGCACCTGTGCAGTCCTGGGGCACTCGGGCGGGGCCGGCGGTGCTCTCCGCCGGCCCCCGTGCTCCTCAGAGGTGCTGCGCCGCTCTAGGCAGCCCTGCAGTAGCCTTCTGGTCGCCCGCACCCTCCAGATACGGTTGTACGGAGAGGGGGGCTTCCTCCGAGTCGGTTCCTGACAGCCTTCCCGGGTGACCGGTGCACCTCACACCCATGTCAGTCCCTGCAGTGTCCCCCACCCCGGGGTGGAGGGAGTGGCTGTGCCTTTCCTTCCCAGAGTCGTGGGCGGCGGGGGGCCCCCCACATGTCCCCACCCGAGCACTGTGGAACAGGAGCCAGGCCCCGGTGCCTACCTTTGTGGGTTTGGTGACGCCGGTGGTTCTCACTTCTGACCACAGCCACGCAGCCGGGTGTGCAGGAACTGCCCGGTGTCCCCGTTCTCAGGAAGGCTGTGGTTTGTTTGGTGATTTCTGCTCTTCAGCACTGAGAGAAGCAGGTTGGTCACCATCCCAGGCTCTGGGCCCTGGCCAGCCCCGCCCTCCTTCCCACCCAAGTCCATGCAGCACAGGCCTTACATTGGGGGTGCCTCCCTGAACCCCACTTTTGCAACCAGCCCCAGCCAGAGACTCCAGGTGGGGAAGAGCAGCCTGAGCCAAACTCCCTGGTAGGGTCCCTGGTGGGGACAGTGACCACAGGACATTCGTGGAGGTGGCACTGTCCCTGGGAGGTCGGCTGGCCAGCGAGGGCCAGGCAGGGAAGAGGGGCCATGGGCCTGCACGTGTGTCCCAGCGGGCCGTCGGGCACTGGGTGTGAGAGGCAGGGCCCTGCCGGGAGACCCTGGACAGCAGGTCTGTCCGCCCAGAGCAGGCCAGGCTGCGGGGTGGGGGCTGTGTAGGGTGGTCGGGGTCCCCAGGCCCAAGTGGAAGCTGGATATGGTGCCGCCCCCATGGACATGAAAGGGGGGGCTCCTGCCACCATGGACTGAGCATTGTGGGGGCGACCATCAGGAAAGGGAGGACCTTGGGGGACCTGGCCATAGGGGGGTCAGAGGGCCCCCAGCTGCCCTGCAGACCCCGAGGGTCAGGCAAGCAGGCCTCGCTGGGCCACACGGTTGCTTCCCGGGCAGAGGGGGGGCTCCCGCCTGGGAAGCCCCCGGAAAGAACAGCCTGGCCCTGCACCGCGCTGTGTCTGGCACTGTGTCTGCATGGGCGGGTGGGAGGGAGAGCAGTGGTGCCCTGGGGGGCTGCCCAGGTGGGCTGTAGTCAGGGGACAGGGCCCCCCAGAACGAGGGGGGACCCCCAGAGCAAGGGTTTCCCGGAACACCCCACAATGACCCAGTGGAGCGAGTGGGCTGGCAGGGCAGGAGGAGGGAAGTGAGCCGGGCAGAGGCCCTGTCTTACTCCGAGGGACGTTTCCCAACCCACCAGTTCCCGGGAAGGCACAGGGAAGTCCCCACTTTGTGTCCCGGTTTCTGGGAAGACCGCGTCCTCGGGGAGACCCAGCCAGGCCCTGGCAGCCGCGTCGGGCAGGGCGGGCAGGCAGTTGCCGAGCAACAGCTGGTCTTCACCGGTGCCTAGAGTCGATGGCTGTCTTTGGGGAGGGGGTGCCTGAAAGGTGCATTTTTCTCACGAGGGTTGTGGCTGATGGCCCCCCGGTGCCCTCTCTGAAGGCCACACTGCCAACGGAGGACATGGCCAACCGGCCCCCGGGCTGTGAGTCTGTGCCGCTGGGCTGGGCTGCCTTTAATTGGAACCCCTCCTAGAGCCCGAACCGCAGTGGGAAGTGGTGGGCCTGGCAGGTGCCATGGGGCGGCTCCCCTGACCCCTCTCCGCAGGTCTCAGGAGCAGTCCTGGCCATCAGGGAGGTGTGGGAGGGACACCCCCGCAGGCACGGGGACCCCCACCCAGTGTGGGCTGTTGTCCCCGCCGGCAGCTCATGCCCGGATGTTTGTCCCCTGTGTGGGGGGACCAGGCCGTGCCGTCACCAGGGCTTTCCCACCTGAGCAAAGCCAGAGGGAAACAGTTCTGTAGGAGTTCCTCCGTGTGACAGGCTGGGACCTGTGCGACTGCTGCGGCCACATGCACCGGGGGGGGGGGACGGCTGGGGCCTGTCCAGTCCCCGAACCTGCGGGGAGGGGTACCACCCCCTTGGGCAGCCCAGGGGCCCCCAGACGGTCTCCCTGCTAGAACTCCGGGAGCCCACACGTCCCAGGACCCAGGGACATTGGGCTGTGCTTGGCTGAAGGGCACTTTCTCGGGACCAGCCGCCTGGCCAGGGACAGGGCTGCTGCCCGGTCATGCAGAAGCCCCGCCCTCGGGTGTTGGTTGGGGTGACGTTTGCCGGCCTCTGGGCCGAGCCCTTCCCTGCCACACCTCCACCCTGGGAAGGTCTGGGGGGGTGAGCACCTGGCCCCGCCTTCCCCCAGGTTTTCCGGGCCCCCACTGGGGTGGGCTCGCACTCAGAGGACTGCTCTGGGCCTGCACTCCCACCTCCCCACGGGGCAGACCCTGGGGCCTTGGGCCACTCGCTGGGCGGGTGGGCCAGTGCGGCCAGGACTGGTCTGGGGCTCCCACCCCTCTGAGCTGGGCCCGGGGCCGGCCGCTGAGCTGGAGGGAAGAGGTCCGGTCTCGCTGCACACGTCTCCGGGAGGTCACGGGCTGTGTGTGCTGCAGTGGCTTCGGCTCCTCTTCCACACGCAGACCAGTGAGACGCTCCCTCGCAGAACCTCTCTGCGCCTGGTTTCCACCATCTCGAGTCACGCGTGTTCGGGTTTAACCTGACTAATGGGAGGACTCAAATCCTATGAGCACCCAGTCTGCTGCTCCTGCTTCGTGATTTCTTCTCTGGGCACCACTTACAGGACTTTTTCCGCGGAAGTTGGAGGGTTTGCCAAATCGCCGCCCCCCTGTGCCCCCTGACGGCACCCGCGTGGCTCTGGCCAGATCCAGGTGTGGTGCCACATGTGGGTGGTCACGCATGTGTTTGACTTCTGTGCAGAACCTCGTTTTGTGGCTGATTCGCTCCTGTGTTTGTACCTCCTGCCTCTTCCCAACCTCCTCAGAGAAACTGAAATCTCGCGGGCACCCAGGCGAGGTGTCTGTGTCAGCTCTCGTCAGTGTGGGAACCAGCTTCCCCAAACCACGGTGCCTGCGGGCCGTTCGCCCTCTCTCCTGGTCTTTGTGCTCCTGGGCGGTGGTCCTGAGGCGCCCACCTGGCTCCTCGCCGGCCTGAGCCCTGGGTGGGTGGCTGCCCTGCCCCCACGGGCTCACACATACCTGGGAGCCCCTGCGCATGGCTGCTGCCCTGCATGGAGGGCTCAGGACAGCCGGCGTGTCACCAAGGCAGCTCTCTGCTTCTCGGAGGGCGAATGGGAAGCAGCTGCTGCCTGGGGGCGGGGCCAGGGCCTGGCCGGGATGGAGTCCAGTGGGCGGGGCGGCCTGTGGCCCCTCCCACCTGGAGCCCGGCCCTCAGGACTGTAGGCCTCTGCTCCTGCCGGCCTGGCCTCTCCCCTCCAAGCTTCCTGTTTCCCGGGCCCCTGCCCCCCGGGCCTCCAGGCTCCTCCTGGGTCGCGCCTGGCCTCACGCACCTGCCTGGCCTCCCTCCACCCCTGGCCGGTGGGTGGGGTGGACAGTTCGGTGGAGAAGGCTTCTCCTTGTTGGGAAGCCAGGCTGCTTTCTTTGGGGAAGTGGGCCCTGAGCGGCCTGTCTGTCCCTACGGCCGGGTCTACCCGCCGGGAGGAGACCTGGTGGTCTGATGGAGGGGAGCACGTGGGTGCCCCCGACCCAAAAGGGGGTGCCCCTAGGGCGGGAGCCTCCAGGCTGGGGGGAGGGTCTCTAGGGCCTGTCAGTCACAACACCTCACGCTCACACACTAGGGTCCTTCTGAACCTGAAACCAGGGCCCTGAGCACGAGCACCAGCTTCCCCAAACCCCGGGCGGGAGCAGCTGGAAAGGCCTGGAACAGCAGCGCCGCTCAGCAGCCCGTGTGCCCGGTCAGGGCTGCAGGCCTCGAGCGGGTCCCGAGATCCAGGCCTCGAGCCCTCGGGCTCCAGCATCTCCCCCAGACAGTGCGGGCACCCAGGGAGGTGGGGCGGGGCCCGGAGGCAGTGGGGGGGTGGGTCTAAGAAGACACCTGATGGATGCTCAGGCCTGGGGCTTGGGCCCTAAGGGACCTGGACCTTGTACGTGACCCTGTGGTAACCTCTGCCCTTTCTGCTTCCCACAAGGTCACCGATGATGAGGACACTGCTGTTCTCCGGAGCGTTCGACTTCGGGGTGTTCTCTTCCTCCGCGCCCCCCTGTTCTGTCTGAGGGACCCTGCGTGCCTTCTGGCTGGCCGTGTGCAGAGACGCGCCAGGCTGGCGGTGGTCGGCCCGGCTCCCCGGAGGAGCGGTGTGTCTGGCTGGAAGGACCGAGCCCCAGGACACCGTGGGTCCTGATGGCCGAACGTGTTTATTCTTCCGACTGACAGTAGTTTTTCTGGGAAGGGCCGCCCCACAGGCTCCAGGACAAGCTATTGCTGCAAGTCATGGGTGGGGGCCCGGTGAGGGGGTCTCTGTGCCCTGGAGCAACAGGGACCCACGCTCCTGCTCACTTCAGAGCTGGGTCCCGCCAAGCACCCAGCGCCGGCCCCCAGGCCGCCCTGCCCCCGAGGTGCCAGGCGGTGCCCGTGCAGACCGGCGATGCTGTCACTTGGAAACAGACTTTGCCGTCCGAAGGGGGAAGTGTGTTTCTTTTCCCACGTCGTCACTTTCAAGACCAAAAAATCGGGAAGAAGAGCGTGAGCCCTTCCCTTTCTTCGTCCTGCGTAAGGACCCTCCACGCAGAGTCCCCGCCGGCGCGGCCCCCACGCCACCCAGGGATGCGGGCCTCTGGGTGTGCGGGGCAGACAGCAGGTCTAATTAAAAGGGAAGGCAGCTTTCGGTTTGTTAATTTTTAAGGCTTTGTGACTATTTCTTTAAGCATCAAATTAATCACGTTTCCGTTTTAGTTTGATTTCACGGTGCTTGAACCCTGCCTGGCTCTGTGGCTACCCAGGAACTGGGGGTGGGACGCCACACCTGGGCTGGTGGCCTCCTGCCCCCTGATGGCACCTGGGTGCCAGGGTTACCTTCTTTGAGAGCTGCCCTCAGCTCACCTGACTGCCCACAAGGAAGCCCACCTCCACCCCAGCCCTTGGACCCTGTGGCGCACAGGTGGCCTCGAAGCCCCCAAGAGTCACCGTCCGCATGGGCCAGGGTCCTGCTCCTGGGAGAGACCCCACGGCAGTCCCGGTCCTGCAACAGCCCGGGTCCCCCCCGGAGGCCCAAGAGCTGGCCCAGGGGGGCATGTCCCTCACTGGCCTGTGGCCCTCCTTCCATGACCGTCCCTTCTTCGTGGCCAGAAGCCCCTGGCCTCCCTGCAGGCTGGTGGGGCCCCTCAGGTGTGAGGCAGAGCCCCAGGGGTCTGGTCTCCCCACCCTCCCTGGTGCTGAGTGGAAGACTCTTCCCTGTGTCCTTCAGTCCCCTCCTTCTTGCCATGAGATGTGACCTGGGTTCACGATGGCTTGGGAGCAGAGGAAGCCCTGCCACCTTCAGCCCCGGTGGGGCAGGCCTGGTGTCTCCCCCCGGAACCCCCGTCTGAGCTGAGCAGACCCACATCCCTGTTCCTGGTCCCTCTGACCCTGCTTCCCAGTGTCTCCCTGGTGCCAGCTCTGCAGGGGTCTTGGGTTTGGGGTCTGTGACCTGGCTGTACGGGGAGGCAGGGGCTGTGTGCTGGGTGCCGTGCAGCAGGGGGGGCAGATGGCTTCTGCGCCCCCCAGAGCCTCCCCACAAGGCCCTGTGAGGAGTTGTGCACACGCCACCTTCTCTCGGGGCTGCTGGAGGGGACGGCACACGTTCATGGAGACCTCGCTGTGACCTGCAAGTCACCACAGCACCCAGGCCCCACAGCCAGGGGGACCAAGGCCTGGGGCCACCAGAGCTGGCTCCTGACCCGCCCGCGCCCTGTCTGCCGAGTTTAGGGCCCCGAAGCCCAGGGCTGCGGCCCCTGCCACGCTGGCAGCCTGGGCGGCGCCGCCCCTTCGCTGGAGGGTTCTTTTTCTCTCATGAAAAAGCAGCCCCTGTTGGCGGCAGAAAGTCAGTAACACAAAGAAAAGCGGAAAATAAAGTGGAAATCTGCAGCCCCCGTGCCGCTGCCTTACCCCGCTCCCCCAGGGCGTCGGCAGCTGCGGTTCCACGAGGCCCTGTCCACTCTCCCTCTGTGGCCCTCCCCGTCCCGGGCCCCACCCCCCTTCCTGCCCAGGGTGTGTCCAGCAGCGGCTCCGCCCTCTCTACAGCCAGCCTGGGTGGGGGCCCTGTCCCTGGCCTGAGAGGGGCCACCCTCTGCTGAGAGGGTTAATTGGCTTGTGCCCCCGCGGCACCCCCAGAAACCCAGGGAAGCTTCTGGAGCTGGAGACAGGCCGGGTTGGGGCGGCCGCCTGGCGCTCCGAGCAGACCAGCCCTCTCCCCTCACTGGTTCCCTGGCCCCTCTTGCTGGGGAGGCACAGTGGCACCCGCAGCCTTGTGCAGCCTGGCTGGGCCCTGGGTCAGTGTGACGCTGTCACCAGGGCCGGCCTCCCGCCCCACCCGCCGCCCTCCCGCGTAGGCATCCTGGCAGCGATGGCCGATTTATTTTTAGCTCTGCCTGATGCCAAGATTGGCCTTCCCACCTCCGAGAGTAGAAATGGGTGGTGAGGCCCCCAGGCTTCTGACAGGGCGGTGAGCACCCTCACCCCGCGCTTCTGGGGACTGGCCGAGCGTCGGGCGCTGCAAACCACGGAGGGAGGCGGGGCGATGGGCCGCCCTTCCCGGGTGCAGCGGGGGGCGGGACCGAAGCGCCCGCACCAGGCAATGCCAGTGTCTCCTTCCACGGGCAGATCACTGAGGCTGAGGCCTGAGCAAGTCCAGCGGCCTCTCCTAGGGGACAGGAATGAGGGCGGGTTCAGGAGGGGCCGGGGGTGTGTCTCACTCACTTCATCACAAAGTACCAGAGTTTTCCAGTCTGGAGGCTGGAAGTCCAGGGTCAGGGGTCAGCTCCCCCAGTGTTTAGTGCGGGGGGACCTCCCACACGGCGGAGGGAGGGGACCAGGGACCTGGTCTTCTGATAAGGACACTGACCCTCACGGGGGGTCCCACACTCCAGACCGCACTTGACCCCCATTGCCCCCAAAGGCCCACCTCCAGACACCTCCCCCCCGGGGCGGTGCTGCACCTTAGGGTTTCGGGCACAGATACCCGGTCTCCGTGGGGCAGACGCCTGCAGGGTCTGGCATGGGCCTCGGGGAAGAGCCAGGGTGGCAGGCGGGATGGAGGGTGCCAAGGGGGGTGCACCGTGGGCCCTGGGGGCGGGGGAGTGGAGTCCAGGGTGAAGGCCCATGGAAGGGAAGGGAGTCTTGGTGGGTGCGGGCAGCACGTGGGGTGGGGACCGCCCCGCCGACGAGGGCAGCGCGGGGCTGCCTGGGCCTGGCACTGGGGCAGGAGGGGCCGACACCCTCCCCCCAGGGAGGGATGTGGGGCTGCCAGTGTGGGCACGGCTGGGGCCCTGCCCAGGCCCTGGCTCCCTCTGCTCTCCCGGCTCCCACCACCCATGGGCTTTCCTGAGGCGGGGCTGGGGACAGCGCCCAGCACAGCCGCCCATGGAGATGCCTGACGGCGGTGGCAAGGGGTGTTTCATGGCATGGTGGGCGCCCCACCCTCGGGCCCCTCATCCAGAAGCCGTTTCAAGCACAGAGCCCCCAACAACTACTGGTCTTGAGAGAACGGCCCCGGGGCCCTGAGGCCTCGGCCCATGTTCTTAGCACCGGGATTCGGGATGGAGGGTGGGGACCAGCACCCAGGCCTCCCAGAGCGCTGGGTGCAGCCCCCAGGAAGCGCTCGCCCACCCGCGGTGGCCCAGCCCGTTCTGCAGCACTGCCGTCTCGCCTCCCCTCAGCCCTGCCCCCCAGCCCCGGCCTGCAGCCTCTGGTCCGCCTCCCACCCCAGGGAGCTGCCTGCTCTGACTCTTCGGTGGGGTTTCAGTGCGTGGGCTGGGCCTGGCCCTGCTGCTCAACAGGGCGAGTGCGACCTTGGTCCCCACCCTTCGCTCCTGTCGTGGCCAAGCCGCATCCCACGGCACAGGCAGGCCACACTTGTTTCTCTGCTCCTCCTCCAGGGATGTGGCTGTGCCCCGGGCTGTTGCAAACAGTGCTGCTGTGGGTGCCGGTCCCACAGGCGGTGCCGAGTCAGCCTCTCCTGAAGGTGACTTTGCGTGACCGTGGGTCCAGCTGTGGTCTGAAGAGTGGGCTTCTGGCTGTGGGTCCTCCTGCTGCCCCTGGCCCCCCACCCTGAGGACTCCGGCATCCCCCACTTCCTGGAGCAGCTGTCAGGGCTGTGGGTAGGCCTGGGGCTGAGGAGGTCACACGTCCCTGGTACCCAGGCGGAGAGGCCTGAGCCAGGGCCGCGGTCCCCAAACCTGTAGTCCTCCCAGAAGCCCCTTTGGCAGTCTGGGGATATTTTTTATAATTAATAAACTTTTAACCATTATAGACATTCTGTTTTAGAGCGGAAGAGTGGCCCTGCCCCCTGCACTGGTGTGGGGCCTGTGCTTTGGCTGGGATACATTGTTGCTCATTAGCACAGATACAGTGTTTGCTCATTAGCATGGATACACTGTTGCTCATTAGCATGGATACATTGTTACTCATTAGTTTGCTCCGGTTCCTTGGATGGTCTGTTCAGTGGGTTTTGACAAATGTGAAGCGATGTTTCCATCACCTGTTTCACAGGCTTCGCTGCCCTGGATGGCTGGACACCTGCTCCCTGATGTTCTCAATGAGTGGACACGGGGGTGGGGGGGCGGATTTCGAAGGAACCCAGCTATTTTGGAGTAGGTATCAAATATCGTGAGGCAGATGTGTGCAGGGGTGTGGGTCAGAGCCTGCCTCCCGGTGACTGGTTGGAGGTGGGGCACGTGGACGTCGGGGAGCCCCCAACAGCCCCCGTGAGGCACGCTGCCCCCAGGAGGAAATGCCACGTCCCCTGCAGGTCCCTTTCTCCCTGAAAGATGTCGGTTTGCTGTCCAGGTTCCCGGACCCCGAGGAAGGACCCCAGTTCTAGAAAACACGCTGGAAGCAGGAGCGTCAATAGAGCCAACAGGAATGAAGGTGCGTTTCCCAGGCCGAGTTGCTGAAACCCTGCGCCCCCTCAGCCAGCTCCCCGACTTCGACTTCGCTTCTCAGGTTGAGGAAAAGGGGTTAATTAGCCGCTGATTAGGCTTTGCTGGAGGGAGCGTGATTAATTAGCGCCATCCTCCCCAGAGCTCGAGGCCTGCATGTCAATGGCTGGCGGCGGCCCTGGGGGGGCGGGGGCTGCAGTGCTGCCCCAGCAGGGCCCGCCCGCAAGCCCCCCATCACCGGCAGCGCCCACGGCAGCAGCTCAGGGTTCCTCGTGAGCCCTGTTGGGAGGCACGGTGCCCGAAAGTGTGCGGAGCAGGGCAGGGCTGGCCCCAGGGCTCGGCCTTCAGCTCCTCCCCCCCTGCCCCCGCCATGTTGAGCTCTGCCCATTCTCTGCCCCCCTGTCCTGACCTCCTTCCCAGGGCCCTGAACCCCAGGGCTCACAGCAGGCCCTGTCCCCAGTCAGTCCATCCCTCTGGCCCCTGGAGGCCCAGGTCTTTCCCGAGTCCCCTCCAAGCGGGACATACAGGGTTCCCAGTCTCCCAGCCAGCCCCTGTCACAGAGGGCTTGGGAGTCTCCGAGGGGCCACACCGATTCTAGGCAGAAGCCCAGTGTTTGAACTCGGGGCTCCCAGCTCTGCACGCCCTCGCCCTGGGCCTCGAGGCCTGGCCTGTGAGGTCCGGCACAGGGTCCGGCTGCAGAGGCGGCTCCGCGGAGGAATGTGCTGCAGGCACTTGTGTGCTGGTCCCCGGGCTTCCGGAGGGACGGTG